GACCTTTCGGCAATGGAACCTTATGAGAGCGGTGCACCTTTGCTAAAGCTCTGCTGTCTATCCATCCGTCCTTCCATCTGTCAGTCTATCCGTACATCTGTCTGTCACAGCTTTGTATCCCTGAAATCTGTTATGAATGGAATTTAGATAAAGAGATATTAGGAGGTTGGATTATAGGTCCCTGTAATAACAGGGACCTATTTATTTAAAGCTTAGATAGTGATTAAGGCTGGAAGGTGGTAATAAGCCCATTCTCTAGGATTAAATTAATTATTTCAATAATATATATCGCTACCTACTTATAACAATCTTGAGCATAACATGTATGAAGTTATCTTGAATGGGACAAGCCCGCCACACCATCACAAAACCGCTGCAACTCGTGTAAGCCAGGATCTACAGTAGATACAACCATGAAAACACTGAAGTCCGGCGCGTCCCAGGGACATGAGTAACTGTCTTTGTTCCCGCAACGAAGAATTGAATCAGAAGATATTATAAGAGGAGAAGAAAAAAAACGATAGTTTCCACAGTGAATTACTGCAGGAGACAGAGTGAATTAAGCCTAAATGCACAAAATAAGACTGTACAACTGGGTGAAGGCCAGTCGCCAAGCACCACGGAAATTTGACTAAAATCTAAGTGGGTCCTATGTGAAGTATATGTATGAAGTTATATTGAACACGTGTACAAAAATCTCGCTACATAAGAGAAACATAATCAGCAAATACCCGTACTCAATTATAATCTAGGGATTTATACCGGCCAGCTATTGTTATTACAATTGTACGACTGGATTTCATTACAATCCACAGTATTAACATCTATTCAGGGCAATGAAACCAGCTAATTACTGGACGCTCGCCACTTCAAACTGTAAGGTCATAATGAATTTATAATCGTATGCATATTAAACTGTTTTCTAACTCAATTTCACTGATAAGTTATAGAATGATTTTGTATTAAGTTATTTGTGATTAGTATGACATGATTTTTTGTTTAAAATCTTAAAAGTATTCAGTTCTTTTGAGATAAAATTGTTTAACATAAAGTACTGTGCATTTACAAAAAAAAAAATGTCTTTCAAATATGTTCATTACAATGATGAGGATGAGGAGGAGAACATTCCACGTCAAGTCAATTTCAGTGTGACGCTGCCAATAAATATGCAGAGATCTATAGATATATACTTGTTCATAGTTCTTGATAAACCCGTTTTGTAATATTTAATTACATCTCATTAGTTGTCTGCGTTAATGAACTGCACAAAGGCTTAATAAAAGTAACAATAAACTTTCAACACACAAGATAATCAAATGTAACACTGCAGAATAGTAATAAAATCTAATTTAATTAAAATACTTTTTACGGACAGGGCGCTTTGTAAAATGCGAGGTGTGATTTTTTATAAAAAACTCATTTTAACGAAATTAAATGCGGGCGAGCTGAGAGTGGCCCTGGGGGACAACGCAGCCATCTGGGGAATCCGCCTTAATTTGTTCATTAACCCTTAAACAGGAGGCGACCTATTTGCAAAATTCACACTTTGTCTATTCTACGACTTTCTCAGCTAACAACTTTTGATGTTATAGCCTTACTCTGATCTTTACTGTTTTGCTTTACATCCCTAAATGATGATCATGATGGCTTAAATCATGATCACGAATAGCTACTTCTACGTGAGTATTTGCAATATGTACACCATAATCATTTTTGATTAATCGCATTATACGGTATTAGCATAAATACATTTATTTGTAAAAGTTGAATAGTTCTTCTTGTCTGTCTCCGTAGCTTCATTAGTTCTAATTGCAAATGCTATGGGACACAAGAGACCAAAAGGAATCCGGTTTAAAATGGAACGATTTACTATAGAAGGATATACCCTTCAAGTTTTTACCAAAAATACTTGAGGATTACTTTGAAACTTATCTATCTCGAGCAGTAATGGATTTGCTGTTAAAGACGCAATAAATTTTTGCTTAAGTTGATTCATTTATAATTCAAATACTTGATTCCAACTTTTTAATGAAAGTATTTCTTGTGTAGCTAGCGATGATAATGTCGCATTACTCAACAATCTCATTGATTTTAACTCTTTACCGAAGTAAATTCACCTGATTTACTTTGCACACCAATAAAGGACTATAGAAGTTGGGTTATTGATAGTTTGTGTACTGGTTTAATAGCGACCGTGTTAATGAATAGATTAATAGATAATTTTGGAAATAATAGACTTGCTATTCCATTCAGCGCAGGAAGGAAGGCTCGCCGTTCGTCGCTTGTAATAGGGTGGTACGTTTAAACAAAGCCGTGCGTAATCAAACCCCAGTAGGCTACAATGTAGAGCGCTGGCTGTCGGTCAGTTCCCAATATCGTACCTACTGAGAGTGGATTATTGCTGACCTTTAGGCTTCTAGCTTTATAGATTTAGGGTTCTTTTTCGGCATTACATGATCTAGAACACATGAAGGGAAACAATTGGGCAGATTGTGGTGTGGATCTAATGGGCGTAACTGTGTCCCATAGCATTTGCTAACCAACTGGTCTCGGTTTCAATCGATCATAATGTAAAGTATTCAATTCCTACAGGCTTTTTTAATTGTTGTTTTTCTCAACGATTGCGCTATCGTTGAGAATCGGTTTTAATGAATGACAGACTCACCCCCTATTATATGGGACTCATAATATAAGTCGTAAAACGAGGTTGTTGTCGTTGTTTCGTAGATGACTGGTACCTTTGAGGATTAAAAGACATGTTATGTTACGTAATTTCTACTCAAGATTGAAAATAAACTAACTTGGCAGTAACTTCTTACATGTACTACAAAATACGAAAGCTTTTATAAATGGAGAGTTTGTTTTATATGTATTTCTATCTAGCAAATGTATAAATATTATTTTCTTAAGTTAATAAGGTTTTATGCTGCTGTTATTTTCAATTTCAACCACGCAATCGTTTTCCCTTGTTGTTATAGTGAATTGCATTCTTGAAAGAGCTCAACAGACAGGTACTGCGAACCGTGAGCCTTTCAAGTGTTATTTTAATACTAATTAGTTCTAGAAAACAAGTATTACTCACTCGAGTGCGGGCACTGGACGGAAATAATGAATATTCTCAATAAAAACCTTATGGTATCTATAAAAGCAACAAAAGGCATTATTTTTAGAAAAATCTCTGTGACCATAAAAAGTTAATAGCTTGAATTTATTACATGAAAATATCGCTGCTTTTATAAACCCAGTCTTTAATTTTTAATAGCTATCAGATTCTTGAGATTTCGTACTCTTATTCTAAGCTGAAATAATAGTTTGTGAACAGCGTCTAGTTTTATAGCTTGCTCCGTAGTTCCTTTATTTTCTCTTCTTACCAAGTAAAAGATTGACTGCCTCGTTGTTCGATCGGTTTCAACAGCTGTTGGACTGATTTTCGATTTTGTAAGTTCTCTCTTTCTCGAGAATAACATGAGCTCTTGAATTGAGCCAGGTGTTTGACAATATACGCTATACTTACTGCTATTATAATAAAAATAGTACCCATACACTACAATAAAATTTATTCGCTGTACTGTAACTACTTCTACATATGTAGTGGTCGAGGAATAACAAAAACAATGTTTGTGGTACTTTCCACAAAAACATGTAGCTACATGTAACACATTGAAACACCTTTACATTATAAATTAAATTATTGCTGAATTATTCGTTCGTTTCATACAGGCACGCCATGGAAGCAAATACAAAACGGGCTTATGTACCTACGTAGCAAATAAAAAGCTGGCAAAACAATTGTTTTAACAATCAATGGCCATATTGTTATGTGAAGTCGGGGTACGCGATTGTTTTCAGAGTGCGCTTTCCAATTCAATCAATAATGCTTTTATCTGCTGTACTTCGACGTCCGTCTACTTTTATATTACTTTGTAAATTTAAAAGCACTGCAGTTTATTTAGTTAGTTACTAGCTTTAAAAGTTTATTACTTCAGGTCTTAAAGCTCAGTTTAAATCAATTTAATTCCTCCATTCCTCTTGTTCTTTTCTCAGTTTAGGTTAGCGATAGATTTATAGTCGATACACTGACGTCTTCTTCAATTACCCTATTATGGAAGTCTAGTTTCTTTACCACTGAATTATCATTACTATTTTCACTAACTTAACCCAAGACATACTTTCAGTTATTCCATTTTCGATCGACAAGTTACTGAAGCTCTTTGCTCCGAAAACAATTGCGTAACAGTGTGAGCGTTAGATAAACAGCGCCTGTCTATCTCCACCCTGTCTCTCTCGACCACTGAGCAATGGTTTTACTTTGATTTCTAACACTACACAGCCAGTTGAACTCGTAGATATTTGTCGCGAAGACATATTGAAAGTGACCAATTCTGAACAGCAAGTATACTTTAAACAATTTGTATCTAAACATGCAACTACCCTGTTGGCAAACGTTCAATTTGTAATACTAAACAGTAATAAATATCGTCTCAAGTCTGTGTTCTACTACAACATAGTTTAGTTGGAAGGGTCGCTAACTTGCCCCCGACGTCTACTAACTAGGTGCCATGATTCCATTCCCTACATAACTGAACACCACATTCGTGTTAAACTTGGATTCAAGAAGTGTTTCTCCTTAATTGAAACTCAGTTTAAGCCGGCGAGGATAATAAGCTCGATTGTGTGTAGCTCGTAGGTATGTGTACTGTGCTGACGAGATAAAATAAATTACTCTCTCTTACTTTGTATATCGTACGTGTACGTTCCTTCTATTTGTATTGTTTAATTTACGATTTATTTGTTTGTTTGTTCCAGGTGGAGTGTACTCACCTGAGCTCGCGCTAACACCTTCACGATGTGTGACTCTGTGAAATTCTAGAACGGGACAGTGAATATGCGTGCGTCTTGAAGTGACTTGAAGGAAATGAGTGTTACGATCCATTGACTGAGTGACTGTAGTGTAAAGATTCAAATGAGTGTTTGGTAAATCTGTGTGGTTTACTGCAGCCATGAGTTTTCTGACATCATTGGGTCAGTATGTGGCTGGGGTGGCGGACAGCGTGGCCGGGCTGGCACTGTCGCCGCGCCGCGCGCCGCCCTCGCGCCACCGCTCCGCTGAGGAGTCGCAGGCTCACCCGCCGCAACCATCCACCGCGACCATGAGAGGTACAACAAATATTACACCCATATCCCTTTCGATTAATCCACTTTCAGTAAATACATGAAGGAGAAATTCTTATTTTTGTTTATCTTATTTTATAAGTTCAAGTTATATATATAATATTGAAGTTATAAAATTTTGAACTTGGAGAAATGACTTAAACCAACACAAATTTTTGAAAAAATAGGCTCAATAAATATTTGTTATCCAATTATTCAGAGTTTAGTTTTCCTATGCATGTAAACGATACAAGATTTTAAAACTTCTTGCAGAACGGGTTTCACTAATTTTATGTCCCACAAAGGAATCGTTGATAACATATAAAAGACCATTATATTTTTATTATGCAAAAAGTTTAAAAGAGATTACTATAGGTAAACCTAATCAAATATTTTTTTTTTAATCCTGGCCTAATCTCCTTAAGTTCTAAAGTTAAATTAGATCCAAAATGTTTACAAAAATTCATCATAAGCGGTCATGTTTATGTTTATCAGTAAAACAAAGAAGTTTACGCCTAAACCCTTTTTACTTCAGCGAAGGGTTTGTTATGGTAAATGCTCAGACAGGCATCCATGTTGTTTCTGCTTGGTTAAGTACTCACATCGTCATCGTAGCGGGTCTACGATGTTAGAGCTACGTACGAGTATGGTTACCAAAGTCACTGGGCTATGGCGAAAACCTATTGTTTTAAAACCGAATCACTACAAAAGAGATACCACATTGTATGGTACAGGAGGTATAAAATCGCTCAATTGAAAATAAACATTATGCAATGTGTTGCGGTAATGATAACGAATTTTAATGAAAATGAGAACCTTTTTGTTAAATATAATCGGATACATTTTCATACAGCACATTCTTTGCATTGTTCATTGATTGGCTGGGTGCTTCATAATAAACCCTCCGCTGTATATTAATTATGTTGTTTAACGTACCTACTGGTGAAATGACGTCAGACGTACACTGTATAATGTACAAGATACCTTATTCAAACTTTTAGAAGTTTTGAAAGCTGTTTTAGAAGTTACTATCTGCCTGATTTTAAAGTATGTCGTTATACAATTTTCTTTCCACAATCTTGTGAAGTTTATAAGAGCTAACAATCTTTTATGGGTAGTTAGGCATAGGTGTTTATATGAATTACATGAATTATTTTTCAGATGTGGGTCGTGACTAGTCATGTATAGGTATATGTAGTAGCGCTTTACTTTTTTCTCATAAGATTTGATTTTGTTTTTAATGTGGTTTCGGTTTTTAGGATTTCCTCGAGTCGTGCCTACAGAAGGAGCATCAGCATTGAACGCTCGTCGTCGTACTCTGGACTGCCTGGCTCCAGCGCCACCACCGCGGCGTGGTGGCTCACTCCGAGTACCTCGCAACCAACCACCTCCGGAGAGACCAACAATGGCTTTCTGCAAACGACGCCTCTCATGGCCAGAGGTTGATAACAACGTTAATTCCGGGTAAGCAAATACTTAAATAAAATATTTAAATGTAGTTTTATAAACTCAAATCCAATTAGATAAACCCAACTTACCTAAAATACAGACACTCAGTTAAATATAAATTGTTAATTTAAAACCACATATCACTATTTGTACGAGATAACGTTTCTAAAGCAGTTACAGAGCAAAGACTACCGAGACAAATAATGATATTGGGAAATCACAGACTCTCGAAGGATATTAACGTGTTTCTACAGGAAGGGGAATTGCAAATTAGCGGCAACTCCTTATGGCCTCGACACGAACGCTGAGACGAAACATGCCAAGCATAGAAATGACTTGTCTCCTAAATCAAATACTTGAAAATATTCAAATTTTTCTGACGTCTATCGCAACTAAAACAATGTCATACTGAGCTTTTTTTTATATTGCTTATTTTCTGCACAATAAATTCAAATTATTTGGAGCGATTCTCTGATACAATTTTCTTTTGTACGTAATTCAATGGTTCACAGCATCTTCAAGGGTATGACACTGGCATTAGTCATAAGAAATTCATTGTGTTAAATAAGATGTGAGTTGTAATGTCGTTAGGTGAATCGATTTGTCAGCGGGAGCTCCATTTGGGAGAATAGAAAACTTGATTAAACCAGCGGGGTGAAGTTAAATGTATTTTTCATCTTGTCAGAAAGAGTTCATTCGTTTAGAGTTTGTGCATCATCTAAATAAATGTATTTATAAACTAAATTGAAAAGCCGTAACAGAGGCTTCTACTTTATCGACAGGTTCCATTTATCGTGAATCCCTAATGAAATCCATTAAGCACATCGGCGAGTTTATATGCTACGACGGAAATTTAATATTACGGCATCCTTTGATAAGGTTTATCAGTGTAGAGCGGCAAGTTAAAAGCTTTGTAGACCCGCTTTAGTGTGATAGTTAATAAAGTCAGCCTTAGTTTCTGGAAGAAACTTTTTCAGGCAGAGCGTTCGTTCATTCCTATTAGCGCGTAGAGTCACGACATAAGTTGACACGAGAGGTTTTCAATTAGATAAAAGCTGGTAACAGTGGCGCGATGATTGCGAAGTAAAAACCGCGGGATGAGGGGTAGTGCGTACTTGTGTGGGCTCCGGGGGTGTGTGGGTGCGCGCCGCGGGGACACGTGCAAGGACGTGCAACAGGTCGCCAGCTGACCTACTTACAATAATATTATTAATCAGTGGATATGTTTATTGATTTCCAAAGACATATCAACATATCGCACATCGCACTTCGATACTGATTTTCTTTGGCTTTCGTTATACGTTATGTAACTTTAGAAAGGGATCTTTTTGTCGATCTACTATTATAAAAAAATACAAGACATGAAAAAAAACGGAATAAAGAAAACTTACGGGTTCATTCAAAGACGTATTTTTGGGATATTCATTCAAATGTAGCTTAATTGTTTCCGTAAACGTTGTCTACGTTGCATGAATATTCAGTTGATTTATCTGAGTATTTCACCGAAACAGTTCCAGGATAGATAGACATAACCTTTTAGAGAATGCCGTAAAAGATGCCAATATCAACAAATACCTTTTTTCTTGATAAATGAAAATAGAGGAAAATTCCTCGGATGGTTTACACTTCACTTGTGCGTGGTGAATGTAGCTGACAGAAATAAAAACGGTAGAAAGAAAAAAGGTGTTCCGGATGAATCAATAAAACATCATACCTGCCTGTTGTTTTCTGGAGGAGAGGAAGTATACAGTACAGTGTACACTTTTTAGTATATTACCTTCTTTGTAGTTATAATCACTTATTTAGTAGTAACGGTTTACATCAAAACATGGTAGAATTTAGAATTTCAGAGCTGACATTCAGAAACCAATTACATTTAAGAATTTAAAAATTATGGTAAAGGTACATTCATATTACAAATCCTATTGTAAAACACTCAACTTGAAAATACATTCATCAAAAGAAAAACAAACATCTCACTGTGTAGTAAATTAATATTGTAATAGATGGTAGTTAAGGTCTACTAGGGAATACTCAGAACCTCGGTCGTGGCCCTATGAGCTTAGAGATAACGTCATGTCAAAAACTGCACAGATTATACACGAGTCTCTTCATTTAAATGTTTAACTACAATAGTTCAGAAGTCAACGGCCAAACCTTTATCAAAGTCATAATCATACAAAAGGTTGCTGGGACATCTTTACTGGAGCTAGAAGCTAGTCTTCTAATTTTAGTTTTTATAAAATACTTACTTAAATATATTTTTTTCTATATATTTGACATCAAACAAAATGAGCAACCTTTAGTTACTTTTAGTTATATTAGATTCAATGCTACAAATGAAATGCTATTAAAATAGGTCGTAATTGAATACTCAGCAGTATTGTGAATCAAAATGAATCTAAATTCGATTTGAAAGAATTGGCTGCACGGTTGGTGCGGTGGTGGCTGGACAACGTATAGCGGGTTCGATTCCCACGGAGCAACTCTTTGTGTTATCCACAAATTATTGTTTCGGGTCTGGGTGTCATGTGTGTATGAATTTGTATCTTTGTAAATGTACCCACGACACACTTTCGCTGTGAGTTTTCATCACAAAATCTATTATAATCTAATAAATATACTAATATAGTACATTAAAAATCTAAAATATAATTATAGACGTTAACTTATAGACGAACAGCTACCTCTATTATTATTTTACTACTGTTCAATCAGTATGTCAGATTATTGGTCAGTTATTACAATTTATAATTAAATAAGTGAGACACAGATGTCATAAACAAGTCTGCATTACTTTGAGAGCACCATCTGCTCTCCACAAGTCAGGGTCTGGGCCATACGACATTCTTTGTAAAATAGTTTACAGTTACTAAACAACAGCTCGGTATAATGAACTTTCTGTTGAAGGTTGATTCGGCTAGACAGCATTGTGTTACACACCTACATCTCAAAACTATAAATACCGCTGTGACCCTTGAGAGGATCTACTCTTTACTGACAGATTAGATTAAAAAAAAAACGAAGAAGAATTGTGCATTCAAAATTAAACAAAGGCTTTTAAATTTTATTTACACTGTATCAATATTATGACTAATTGTTTATAAGCGCATAAAATTGGGGAACTCTATGACATTGCTAATACTTTAAAATTTATTCAGCCAGATATCTTTCAATATAATTTTCAAATAGTTGTTGTCTACCTTTGTCGTCTTCATGATTCTAATTAAATTACGCCGTTTTAGTAAATACAACGTAGAAACACAATTCTATATTTAGATCCAACACGACTAAAACTTTTGTTAATTGTATTGAAAGCCATGTACAGGTCAGTGGGTATAGGTACCTACTACCTACATATTGATAGCTAGGTATTTAGTTTTAAAGAGTACCTGGCGACCGGTCTGAGTTCTTTTGTAACAAATTTCCCGGGAGACTGTATTCATGAATCTACCGAGAACCATTTTATAAAAAAATAAATAAAAAGTGCTTTGTTCTAACAATTTTTTTTTAGCTATTTTCATGCAAACAATAGGTCAAAGTTTGTTTTGTAGTCTTGCCGTTAATGGGAATATCGAATATCAATTTATTTTGAAATTATGTACCTTATTTATTCCAATAAAAAATGTAGTTGCAACTAAGGCTAATAATACATTGAATTTGCAAATTCTCAATACCTAATTGTGTTTAAGAAAGTATAAAACATTACTAATTAATTTAATAAAAAGTCAACAGCTACAACAAAATGTTTGTCTTATTTTCTTTTCACATACCCTACTTTCTTACCTGTATGCAGATGCATTACAAAGGTAGATTGCAAGTCTATCAATTTCACTATCAGCCCGTAAACGTCCACTACTGAACATAGGCCTCGTTGCTACAACAATGAATGGAGCCTCATTTATTGTATTCGTGGTCACGCAATCTGCTCGGAGCCTATAAAACCTCCATAGTTCACTAAAGTAGTTCGTAATTTTGCCAAATTATCGTCCCTTCTAATTAATTCTATCGAAGTTTTCCTGCTATACAGAAACATCAAAGTATGGTATCACAAAATTAAAATTAAATATCAAAAGTTAGAAACACTATTGTTACAAGTACTTACAAAGCAGATTAGTACTTTCTCTTCTATTTTCTTTTTGATGTTTTTTATTCAATTTTTCCACGAAATTTGTTGAGGACCTGATAGTATACTGACGCATTTTTATATAGATCTGGTAATTTAAGGCAAAAATTTTAGATGCCACATAATAATTAAAAAATAATAATAAAATAAACATGTCATTTTCAAAGTTCCTAACCACAGTTTGGCCAATAATATCATAATTCGTCTGAAATAATAATAATAAAAGAAAGTTATAATTCAAAACAAATCTGGAATTCTATTTATGGTTTCATGATTATTTTCTATTCGATTTTTCCATGAAGGTTTTATCAAATAATTTAGTAACAATATCATGAATTAACTAAAAATCTCGGGTTACTCACGTGAATATACTGAGAAAAGCTCTACTAGTTTCGAACCACAGAGGGGTAGGTAGAGTAGTAGGCCGCGCGACATCACCGCGATAGTTTTAGTTGCTTATTTTCAAGATTTAACCATTAGGTATAACTCTAGTTGAAGCTCAAACTCTGAAACAGAAAATTCTTTGCGTTGAGCCCAGTTATGTCTCATGCGAGCACTAGAAGGTAATCTAAGTCTGAAGCACCATGATCCGCAATCGAATAAAAAAAGCACTAGACTTGTGTAACACATAAAAAGAGCTCAATACGTTGTTCCATCCAGACTCCGTTAAATAAAGTTGGGGCACGTCCCAGCATGTTGTATCGTGGGGTAATGTGTAAGAGTAGTAGCAAACTGACCGTCACGCACATGTCACGCGTTTCCGATACGCGTGGGACTAGCTTTATGTTACCTTTATGTCCATTGTACCCTCCCTGAACCCGGCACGCCTCTAACTATTAAATAAAAACCTCTGTGTTACACGATCCTATGTTACGAAAAGGGTTTCGAATCAATTTTGATTAAATATAAGAATTATTGTTACTGTTCAATACATTTTTGTTTTATGGTTATGTTTTTTATTTTAGAGGTAGATTTGTCGAGTGGTTACAAGCGTTACTCCCGGGGTCACGGATTTATTTTCCGGGTTTACCAAAGTTACATAGGACTTATACTAAAACTGGTGAAAAGTTGGGAGTGAAAAGCGTGGTGTTATAATTTGTTATTATTGCATCGAGTAACAATTTAGATAAATATGTTAGTTCACACCTGCTCCATAGGTCATTCATTCCGACTTGTTTCCAAATAAATATAGATTTTGTAAAAATAAAGTTTTTACAGTTCATCACCTCTAATGAAATTAAAAGACGCCAAACCCGAAACCAGTCTCATTAAACATTTTCACAGATTATCTAAAAAAAATATAAAAAGGCATTTTTGATATAATGAACACGGATCCATAAGTATCGGTTTCAGTGTTCAGTGTTTGGAGTTCAGTGAGCGTGTCAGGAAAGCTCCGCGCCTTAGTATTGATTGGCTACATCAATCAGCAGCAACTTGTTGTTTTCCACTTCGACAGTAAATCACAACACCTTTGCTGGCTGAAGGTCAATGCTAGCTATTACTTCGTATCATAAACTTTTACTAAAATATGTAATGTTTTATACATATGTATGTGTGTGGTGTCTCCAATAACACTCCCTCATTGGCTCATTGGCTCATCACAGGCGCGATCATTAAACGACGGGGCGATCATACCAGTTCTCGAATATAGAAAACTTTTTAATTTTAGGTAATTTTCAATAAGTGCAAAGAGTCTGTAAATGTACTCGCTGCATTATTCTATGCTTGCAAGCCATATCGTGGGAATGATATTGTACTTGGCAAAAAGTCCAGTAGATTCACATATCACAATGCCTCCTTTCCTCTGCCTGCCCTTTGGTTTTATGTATTTTGCCGTGACTTGAGCAATCAAAATATAGCTTACTTTGTTTGACATACCTAAGTATCCTTAAGTTAGAATATAAAGAGTCTACGGAGTTCAGAAAGTGACTGAAAAAAGCAAAGTTATTGCGCCGTTTACGAAGGTCGTAATGGGTAATAGCGAATGCTGAGTTGTAAGGTACGTATATAAGCTTCGATTAGATCCCATAAGGTATTGGAAATTTCGATTCCAAAAATTGTGAAAAGCTGGATAATTCTACGGTCTTACTTAATAACTGGTGCAAACTTGATTATCCAACATATTTTGAGCCAAACTGGGTTTAGTGAAATATATTAAAGACATAATTATTTAACCGAAATAATCACGGTCACAAACATATTTAAGACTTACATTGTGATTTACTGGGGTTCTTTTTTACAATTATTTGATGAAATATTCTAATGAATATTTCTTAGTAATCTAAGAAGTGTTTTATGCTCAGATGCTTATGTTTTTCCGATTAATATATTCTATGTATAATATATAACATCGAATTTCGTTACGTTCTACTTAAAATCCCAATCTCAATATATTTTCGGTTCGAAGAAAAAGCCTCCCACTTTAGATTTATTGTATATAGGCGGTATACAATCGTTAACCTGAACGGTCTCCACAAGTAGGAAACTTCCGGAACGCGTACAATTTGTTTGAGAATCGCCCATAATCTGTGATCAGTAAATATGTGCCTTCTACCTTACGAGGGTTAAATTCATTAAACAGATATATACGGTAGGTAAATGTACATGACACGTAATACCCCATTAAAAGGGGTAGTGCTAAAATCCTTTTCGGATTTTTTCCACAAGAGGTTTCCTGTTTCAATTCGGTAATGTCTTATTCTGTGTGAATACATGTTTTCCTGATTCCATGTTAATCGTTGCTAAGGTAAAAACACTATTCATCTTTCTTAGTTACTAGTTTGAGCTAGTAAGTTAATCTGAAGGACTATTCAGCCGCTTACCATTAATATTACTTGGCCAGAGCGTTATCCGTGCCACCGCACTCATATTTATGAAAGTAAATAAATAATGCGAAATGCTATACGTGATAAATAGTCCATTGGGCCGATTTGGGGATTACGGACGAATCACGAAATATAGATGTTTATATAGGCCTCAGTAAATACGAGGTAATACTCCGAGTAAGTTGTACTCATGATCATTGCTACTGCGGCGATTATGTAAATACAGAAATATATACGCACAAACTTGTAATAGAATAAAGTAATTTCAAGTAACTTTTTATAGACATTTAAAAGATACTCTTAAATCAGTTTCAAGCTCTTTTAACGAATTAAATTCGTGATAATTAGACTTGTGAAACAGTCGTTCTGAACAAATAAAGGCTTCGGCATTCGATGGAACGTTTAAGAATTTCATTAAATGAATATTTTCATTTACTCTGAAATTACTTTTGTTTAATGTAGATGTACTTAGAACTGATGAATTTTGTGATAAGCCCAGAACATGCAGCGATAGAACCTCTAATTTAAATTAAGGAGTTATTATGAACTTCAGTTACCTACAGAATAGAGATTTCAACTTCCATTACCTGTAGAACGATAAACTAGTTCAGTGAGGCCTACCTAGAATGTTTTTCGTTCGTCTGTGGTTACAAAAAGTCATAAAATTCCATGGCTATGTAAACAAAATACGTAATTTGAATTCTCATAGATATGTACGATGTATTGTTTACGAGGCCGCACCAGGTATTGCGAGTATATTAACATTTAGTTTAAAGAAATAGTAGATTGGAGATTTACTTTATTGTCTTCGTTGTGATAGATATACTCAAATTGGTATGTTTTTCTATGACTGGTTTATTTCTTCATAGTATTTTGCTTGTTGGTTGCAAGTGCGACTAGGGATTCTGGGTTTGAAATTTGGTTCAGGACCTCAGGATGTATATAACAATTGTATGCTCAGTATTTCGAAAATGCTTACTAGTAGCATGGACAATGGACATTGAGGAGAACCACAGGCATGATGTAAATTCTATACCAATTATACAAATTAATACTCTTATATCTGCACTTAAACCTGAAAATACTGTATTCATTGTTTAGGGTTCAAGACACGGACGGGTCTTACTTCGAGAACTTTACTGCCCTGTCATGGCGGCATGAGAACAGGCGTCTTGCTGCGCTGAGGCTTGTTGAAGCCAGATCGGAGAGGGCGCCACCGGCACCCCATGACCTTGGCCTCCCCAGCGTGTCAGCTCAACTGTCGCATAAAGAGCATGAGCATCTCTACACTGAGGTACGTTTTATTACAAAAATATCTCATATTTATTAAATTTATAAAACAAAACAACATAAGTCTACTTACAATAGAGGTTATATTATTAACACGGCATTGTGTTTTACTACACATTCCGATTTAACCAAAAAACAAGTAAGTAATAAGTCAAAAGATTAGAAAAGAAATACAATCAACGTGGGATATTACAAACTCATTTCTCGATTCCTCTTGAATTCTAATTCTCCCTAAGTTTTTTAATAAATTCCAGCTGAATTAAAATGTAAGGTGACCCGAGAAAGTGCGTGGACCTAAGGGTCATTATATCGGATTTATACGTATAAATCTACATTACACAAAGATATTACAATACCTTTGTTGGTATTGGTCAAATTATGAGGTTCCCTTTGTCTCAGATATTAAAGGTAGACGCTGCGGTGCCTCTGGCATCTCATTTTTTATTTAGTAGACCTAATTGTTCATTTACCTGTCAAATTTTTATTCTATTATTTATGAATATTAAATATCCCGGGGTTTTATTTGTATTTGAGGCTAGTATATATTTATATACGCGTTTTAGGTTTGTTAATTTAAAATTGAAACAGTTTTATGAATGAAATAATGTGTGCTTTTTACCACAAACGTATATAATGTATAATCTTGACTAAGTGATATTAGCCGTCGTATATTATGAGTAGTATTGTAATAAATTATCTATTAGGCTTCCAATCTGCATGTGCAGTAATGGGCGATGGAAAGACAATGAACACGTATTTTCATTCATTTCTGAAATATTTCGATTACTAAATACTTTTCAATTATAAAACCAATCACTAGACTGATTTGGGATTTAGGATTATACACTAAAATTTTAACAAGAATACTACCTATCAAGTCTAGAAAATTTGTACAAAAATAATAAGTATTTTCTGAAGAAATTGAGTTAATAAATAGTGGTGATTGCGAGAATTTGAGCGTGTCCAAATGATTGACGATGACGAGGTCGCTAAAAACGGTCCATGAATCGTCCGACCCTTTTCTCAGAGATCGTAATTTTACATAAAAGATTCTAACGACTTTGATTGCGATTAATAAGTAACTAAATGATGGTATTAATCTCCCCAAAAAGAACAATTGGGTATTACAATATAATAAAATTTTTATAAGTCTAGCCAATAGGAGGTGAATTTCTGAAAATCAAGCTGATAGGGCTATATGACTTCTCATCCACCATTAGCACCAACTGGTGAATTAAAACTAGATAAGATATCTTTATAAAATATTTATGGACGTACATGTACCTATAATTTTAAGTGACATGTACTAAGTACTTACTTGCACCACAATACAACAATAATGCAAGAACAAAGACACGTAGATTATGTACCATAATTGAATACTAGGTCTCTTGCGTAACTATCTCGCAGCATGCAAAGCTGTCTTCCTGCGAAACACATTCCGTCACGTCAGCTTTTTCCTTACAAAGTCTTGCAAAGGTGATACTTAATATCGTGTAGGCAGCACGTGAGCATGTTTTACGCGAATATCCGCTTTATTATCAGATATTTTTAGGTAAAAAAATACAATATCGGATCAAATCAGCCGACATAGATGTGATCTGATACAATTTGCAGGTAGGTACTTATTAACCACATAGACATGAAAAGACCATCTGTGATTGTGTGCGTGGGTGTCGCCGGGATTACTTCGGGCCATATTCATATTATATTGATTAATGTTGTCTGTAATCTTGGTATAGTAATAGTTGGTATTTATAGCTATTGAATATGTTTAACATCTGTGCTTTCCGTTGAGTTATGTCGATTGTATTACAATTACATATTAATTAATATCCTCTGTTTTTGTTCTCCAGTTTGTTATTTGTATTTGTACTTATGCGAAAGGTGCTGTACTGCATTGAGAACGCAGTGGGTGCACCAGCCCCTGACGGTCAGTTCGCGGCGTACAAGGAAGAGGTGGTGGAACATGCACGCCGCGCGTTCCGTGTGTCGCCTGAGGTGCACGCGCGGGCCATGCGTGCTGCGGGCAGCGAGCGACCGCCCACCGTCGTGCTCGGCTGCTCCGTCATCGAAGCTGATGGACTTGAGGCCAAAGATGCTAATGGTGAGCTATTAGATTTATTTATCATATCTGTCCTTGTACTCAATTAGAATAATAATCATATCAAAAGTCAAATTCAATATCAAATATCAAAAGTCAAAAAGACAAATATATATAGTTGTGATTTTATAAAACACCACTAGTACAGGATCAAAACAAACGTTCTACATCTAATATCACGAGCTTTAGCTTGGTGAGGAAAGTATACCTCTTAATAGACCTCGCTTGTTGCTCACACGTCGTCCCTTTATGTGCCCTTAAATCATATTCATAAATGATGAGTGTCGACTTGAATACATTTCTTGACTTACCCTCGGTTGAATCACTCGGTGTGACATTTGGAACATTTGTTCTAATAAAACATCTCTGGGCTCTTCATAATGTGGTTTTCATCATTGTATGCTTGTATTCGCCCACTATGTTTTGCGTAACTCCTACATTCTTTCTGTATTTAATTACTTGGGAAAATATTCATGCCGTTTTTTACGTCTAAATTATATTCGTTCAAAAATGATCTAATAAAAATATGATGGATGGATGTGCGCATTTGACGTCTACATAAACATTCGCTGCTATGCCGGACATTATTATATCGCGGCGACTAAATGCGGAAATAGCTTAAAATGTTTGCGTCGACGTCAACGTCGGGAAAATAAAAATTAAATTGTGTAACAAATAACGTTTGCGGCGCGCATAGTGAGGCTGCCGGCGCGCGGCGCGGTGCTGTCAACCACGCTTGTTATATTGAATTACGCGAAAACGATGGCCGTCGCTGAGACACCGTGCGATCGCGAACTAACGCACAGAACCACTCACTGTAACTGTTACATCCGATGACATCACATTATGCATTAAACGGAAACATCTCAAAACAGCTTCCATTTTAATATCTAAATAATGTTTATACAGAACCGCATTTTCTGTAAAATAAATGCTGCTACCACTGAAAGTTAAAATCAAATTTCTATTCAACTAAAACTTTGTTTCGACAGCTTTGCAAACAGCTAGTAAAGTTGAAAGGTATTCAATTACGCTTCTCTGAGTTCCCAGAGCATATACATATTCGGTATTGCAGTAAAAACGAAGCAAACAGGACATTTTAATTAGTTTTCTTTATTCAAGTAAAAGTATAGTTTTTGCTTCGAGTAAACAACCAACTTTTTTCCAATGCTTGTAAACTAGTAAAATTTTAGGATTAATGAATTTTAATATCTTATTAGAATATCCTAATAACATAAACATATATATTTGACAAATATATTACAGTTACAAAACCATAATGACATGACAGACATACCTTTTGCTACATAAATAATTAAAAAGTCATAGCATCGTGCAACGTCAATTTATTTGTATATACTTTCTTGTTTGTACTACGCCCGTGCTACGGCGTAGCCTGCTACGTGCTACGATCGAATTGTAACCACGCGTCTATGAAAGTTTAATGTTTGTAAATATTATCTGGTTTCTCTCATTCAAATATAATGTTCTTCATTTTTAAATGTTTGATTGAATTGTTGCATTATACTGTATAAATAAGGCGCTGCCTTATACCGTCTAGGGTTTAGTGATCCCTATTGCATGCTGGGAATACAACCCGCGTCTCTGCCGGCTTCTCCTCGGGCTTCTGAGGATGAGGGACGTAAGCATGGATTCAGGCTGAGCTTCAAGCGCCGCGATGGTCGCCAGCAGCGCGACAGTCTGGGCCGCCTGCCCGCTCGCTACATACGAGCTACTAGCGTGCGACCACACACACTGTCGCCTAAATGGAACGAGACTTTCAAATTGTAAGTGTTTAATGAGAATATCTTTTCTAGTATAATGTTGCAAGGTCTTTTCCTCTTTAACCACTTAGGTTGTCAGGTAATTTTCTACCTGACTTTAAGTTCCTTTTAACTGATTTCGTTAAAATCTTAAATAAGTTCATTAGACAAAAATATCCCGCCATTGCAACTGTCACTATCTTATACATATTTTTCATAAGTACAAAATCGATAATACGGAGACACTTGCAGTGACATCGACGATATATCGTCTGATGTGCTGCACCTGGACATATGGGACCACGACGACGAGAGCTCGGTGCTCGACGCCGTCTCCCGGCTCAACGAAGTCCGCGGAGTTCGTGGCCTCGGGCGTTTCTTCAAACAAGTTTGTCAGAGCGCTCGTCAAGGCAGCCAGGACGACTTTCTGGGTAAGTTGTAACTTGAAAAATTTTAATCTAAACTTAAAATTTTCTTTCTCTCTTACATTGTTATAGATTAACTCACCTGCAAATCTGAGTAATTCCGTAATCATCTTTATGTTAAAGTACCCTTTCAGCTTACGAAATTTTGTTAAATCATTTAAGTATTAAATACCTACTGTAATACTAGCGTAATTAATGTAGAATCGCATTTTCGGGTAAGAACTGGTAATATTGATAAGTTTAAAATTATAATAACAAGAAACTCTACTTACGAAATATGTATTGTTTTAAAAACTGTTACTAATTACTGCTACTAATTTACTATACTGAAAAACGATGATTGGCTGACCAATTGACTGACCTACAAATGAAAAATTCGAAACTGCATGAATAACAAAAAGAATAATGGAAAATGGAATGTAAAAACATTTTATTTCCACGGTTTAAAACCTTTGCGTAACTATACTCATTTCATATTGTTTATTATCATTGCAAGCGTTACATGCAGTAGTCTATGGAACACTAATTGCACGCTGCCACTGGACAGTTTTATTGTTCCGTGCAATGGTCACCGTCATTTTACTGTCATTTCAAAATAATAATTTACCCTTCTACTGCTACTATACCTACATAAACATATATGTTAATTTACTATGCAAATATCGCAGCTATTTTCCGCCTTCCCTTCGTCTCGGCACCCTCTACGACCCTATTTCGGTTGGAATTTTTAAAAGACTCTTTATTAAAGATGTCCACTTTGTCAAATTCAAAGTTCAAAGGCTTCGTAAAACCGGAGATTTAAGTTAAACTTAATGAGTAAGTCGACGAGATTTGGTTTGATAAGTATTTATGTAACTTCAAAGGGAAATGGTACAAAATGTCGTGTAATCTTTGAATTCATTCAAAAATGTGCTTGATAACTGTCGTAATGAATACAAGTAAAAATGTTTTTGAACAGGTTAGCAAGATAAAGTGAATGGTCATAAAAGAGTTTTTGACTGTTTTATTAGCTTTGTCATCCTAAAACTATTATCTTTTTTTGATCTGTCTGTTTTCTAAATACGTTGAAGCCTTCTTTGTGTAAGAAATGTAAATAAATACATTTTACCGTCAATCTAAACTCAAAAGCAAACAAAATAATGCTATGGTTTTCCAGTAACTCTACTTTTACGACATATTTCACACATAACATAACATAGCATCATCGGTAGGCAGAGGTGCACATTATACCACTGTACAATGTAACACCCACTTTTCACAATTTTTGTTACAAATCCCATGTAATAGGGGTGAGCCTATTGCCATAAACCGGGCACAGTTCCAGACTCCGTGCTACTACTCAGATTTTTTTAAAAACCCCGTAATACTTAGCCCGACCCCGAAATCGAACCCGAGACCTCTTGCACGGCAGTCGCAATTGCGACCACTCGGCCAACGAAGCAGTCAGACAGACATATTTTAATTTATTTATATAAACAACTAGTTGACCCGGCAAACTTCGTTCCGCCTAAAATTAGTTTTATCACCTTTTAAACCTTCTTTGAACTTCCATGGATATTCCAAGACCAAAATTAGCCAAATTGGTTCAGCCGTTCACTTGTTATACCGAGACTAACGTACGGAAAATCATTTTTGTTTATATAGATGTGACCCGCACTTCACTTTTGACATCAGCTATGTTGAGACACTCATGTAGGCACCGTATAGAGAGTGAGTGTTCTACCAAATACCAAATGCATCTACTGACTCCCCGCAATTCAGTACATTTACTGAGCAATTTTCGATAAATTTTCGAAAATATCACCAATAGCACGTTGTTTGGTTGTCGCACTTACGCCTACTCGACCAACGAAGTGTTTCTTTTTCTAATAACTTTTCTTATCCTTGAAACAAATACATGAACATCAGACTCCATTACTATTCAATTTTGGTTAAATAATTACTTAGAAATTCACACTAAGTTAGTAAGTTACGTGCTTAATTTGCGGCACAATTTAACATTCTATGTTACAAGTTAGGAGAGGTTGACTCAGGTACGTATATTAATGTAGTTACTCCGACGGATTTAATTTTGAATCGATTAACGGTCAATCTGAAACCCATCGGACTCGAGTATGTAATCTCGGTGGTAGGTATGTACATAAAATGCGACCTAGATTAAAATGATCAACATAGCGGCTGAGTTAGGTAAAAAATTTGTTTGTATAATTTATTTATTGGTTGACCTAATCACTTGGATACGAAAGTAAACATCATAACTTTACGCCTTTTATCTCCGAAGGGGTAGGCAGAGATGCACATTACGGCACTTAATGCCACTATACACTATTTATATAATAAGTCCCATCTAATAGGGAGTGAGCCTAATGCCATATACCAGGCACATTTCCAGACTCCGTGCTACTACTGAGATTTTTTTAAAAACCTAGTAAAACTTAGCTAGACCCGGGAAGCGAACCCGAGACCCCTTGCCTAGCAGTCGCACTTGCGACCACTCTGCTAATGAGGCACTAAAGTAAAAAGAAATGACTTAAAGCGTTTTTGTGTTATATATACTGGAATAGGGTAGATGCCTAATTTTTATTTTAATATCCGTCTGGTAGATTATTTTAAATCATTAGACACGTATTTTTTATTTTATTACAGTAACAAATACTTTCGACGATATATTGATTTGAAATGTCGCGTGACGTCACTTCTATGAACATTTTATACATATAAATTACGGTTTAACCCCACTCCTAAACTTTGATTCGTTTTATCTAAGTATTATTTTATTATACAATTCATAACATCACGCCTTTTATCCCCGAAGGGGTTGGCAGAGGTGCACATTGAAACTTGAACTTGAAACTTGCCACTGTACAATGTAACACCCACTTTTCACTATTTGTTATGAGTCCCATGTAATAAGGGGTGAGCCTATTGCCATATACCGGGCACAATTCCAGACTCCGTGCTGCTACTGAGAATTTTTTAAAAACCCAGTAATACTTTGCCCGACCCAGGAATCGAACCCGAGACCCCTTGCCCGGCAGTCGCACTTGCGACCACTCGGCCAACGAGGCATTTTATTATACAACAAAGTAAAATAATACGTGTCTAATATTTTTTCATCACCTAACTTACGGACTAATTCGATTTTTAATTTTCATACCCCGTCATCATCCCAATTGTAGAATATACTTGAGAAAGAAACGCCATTAAAAACTAATCTTAGCTTAGCAATGAAGAACAAATATTACTGAGTTAGGTATTCACGAGGATAACTTACTTGAAACTATCCTTGATGCAGCTTGTATTGCAATTCCCAAGAACAAACTATAGAAACCACTAATGAGTTCATGTCTTGTACATGTTTTAATGAGAATACATATATTTGGATATGTTAATACGAGTTAAAGTTTAGATGTGCAAGATGAGTACTACTTTATATTTTTAACCGACTTCAAAAAAGGAGGTTCGTTGTTTGACCTGTCTGTATGTATGTATGTTTGTGCGTGATTATCTCGCGATTGGTTGAACCGATTTTGATGCGGTTTTCATAAAAGTGTTTATTATACCTACTTAGGAGAAGGATTTAGTATATTAGTTTAACGACTTCAAAAAAAGGGTTGAAATCAGTTTTTTAAACATAGTTCATTTGCTTTTACTTACGACGACGGTCATCTGATGGTAAGCAATTGGTGCCGCTCAAGGACACCCGAAACACTAGAGGCGTTACAAGTTCGTTGCCTGTCTTTTTTGTAGTTAGGAATTTAAGGATTGTTGGATTGTCATTAATACTAATTTATCAAATTCGATCTTTAAAAGTATCGTTTTGTGTCTTCTGACGTGATTGAGTATTAAATATTGGAACACTTTAGTACATTACATTAAAGGGATTGTTTCGTAAATATGTGTACAACTAAGTTCATATTCTAAGTCACCTTTACACACGCACACACATATAATGTGGTTAACCGCGGCTACGGCCGTATACCTGGCAATAGTCCCGCAATCCACGAGGCTTACTATAACGTCTAACGTACTCCTTGACTTCGCTTCACGAACAAATATCAACTTTATTTAAATTGCGTAGGTATCTCTATACAACAACAGACAAAAACCTGCTCTATTCTCAATTATATTGAGTCTAAAACAGAATAACATTACAATACATTTCTGCAATACAATCCCAAAGCATTTCAAAACGAATATCTATTGAAGCGCGGATGCCTAGGAAAACAAGAGCTAAACAAATAAGATCTTTATTAGTTTTGTTGTCTTGACTTGCAAAGTGTTCCCTGGGGCTGTCGGGAAGGCGACACGCGAACTTAGCCCATCACACCTGAGTTTACTTAGTACCAACTACTGAGCACTGCTTCCAACATGTTTATTTTTAAGATAACTCTCAGTAGATGAGAAATATAAACACGGTAAGACAGAGCAGGATATGGATATATTGATCATCTTTGTTTGGGTATATATATTTATACTAGCTGACCCGGCAAACGTTGTTTTGCCAGATAAAAAATTTAAGGGTGGACTACCCCTAACATTTAGGGGGATGAAAAATAGATGTAGGCCGATTCTCATTGATACCGGATAAGCACAAAAAATTCATCAAAATCGGTCAAGCCGTTTCGGAGACACGAGATTTTTATATATTTAATATGTTTTATAAGCCCGTGCAGGAAGTCTACTACTGATTTTGATTTTCCTGAATGTTTCTTTGTGTCGGCATTTAAAGTTTTAGTTATTGTGCTCTCGTCTACTTTTAGTAGATACAATAATCATTTTAAAAGGTTAAAGCCTTAAGTAAGTTACCACAACTGCCAAATATATGGCGTTACATTTCGTATGCCTTTCTCTTTCCATGCCTTTGAAGAAAAAAATGCTAAAAAACAACAATCAAAATTCATGCCAGCACTAACAGCTGTTAGCACTAATATTACACAAAGCAAGTCTAATGGTAATGGATGTTGGACAGATTGATGAACAACGCAGAAAGATTAACTATAATTGATAGGAAACCTAATGGACACGTGTGACGAGGCAACTACACGAACATATTGGATTGGATTTAGACTTAATTATTTTTGTTATCAGTCAATCATCCCAGACAGCTGCTACGAGGCTTCATAAAACTAATTGAAGAATATCAAGGGCCACCAATTAATTTCTTCTTTCCACGATGTCTGTGAACTTTCATTAATTTCGATGGTTTCTTTCAGAATTAAAAGATATTAGAGACTTTTAGCTTGTTACCGGAGTACATTTAAGATTGGTTAAGATTTTAGGTGGTATTGTTAATTTGCGTACGATGTATTAACGCAAGCGATGCGATGAAGCTTCAAACCCCTGCTACGCACAATAATGGCGGTCGCTTTTGATATAGCTATGGGCACTTATATGGGTACCTAACGTTTCCCAAATCTCGACTTGACTCGAATACTAAAAACTTTAGCGCCACGTTGGCCGATACTACACTTTTCGTCTTAACTTCGTATCAAACGTTGCTACGAATGAAGGGAATGGTACCTCCCACCAATATTTATATATAAGTGCCCACTCCTGAGTAAAGCCTCTTCTCACATTGACAAGGTTTGAGCATTAATCACCACGCTAACTTATTGCGAGTTGGCGATATTAAACTATAAGTTTGAAATCACAAAAAAAGTAATTATAAGTCCAAGTTGCCTCACGGTGTTTTCCTTTACGGTTTGTCAATGGTATCTAAATAATCTTCGAAAATACATATAACTTGGAAAAAGTCACACTGATGCTTGCCATTGGTAGGTTTCGGACCCGCACCCTCATGCATGAGAAGCGGGCGTTTTAACCTCCGGGCCTGCACGACGATTTTAATTTATCAATATTAAAGCTTTAATTAAAAAATGAACAGTGATAAAAACATATTAAAATATTAGGAAAATATTTGCATCAGAAAGCTGATTGGTTACTAGCCATATAATCAACATTAATCATACAAAGTACTATATTTATTCAATCCCCAAAATATTTTACATAAAGCGAAGCAGTTAGTTGAGAAATTACATTTTTATGGGTAGGTGACACGCGAAACTGTCCAACAAACTAATAATGCTTGGTTCATACAAATGTAAATGTGTAATGAATGTAGTATGGGTACAATGTATTCAAATGAGAGGTGCGAAGCGTTTGCTTGCATTCAGAGCAGCGAGGCCGAATCGAACGCTGGTGTGGCGTGAGTGTGAAATGAGCCCTTGTTTTATGTCCACCGCTGTACCTACGTCAATGTTTGAACAACGCGACACTCACGCACTCATGCCACATAAATCTGTTTATGATAGTGGGAGTAATCTGATAACATTGCATTGCTCTTGTGGCGTGTGTTCCTTTGACGTCAAATGAGGAGAATCGTTGAATGGCTTACTGAAACTAAGCCATCTTGATGCTGAGACTCGTGTTGACTTTATATAAATGATGTACTTCGAGGAAACCCTGTTTCTGTTGATCTTTTAATAACGGTATACTACGAAGGTTTAGGTTAAGACCCAGTAATTAACTTTAAATCTTAGACTAAATTCGGCAATTTGTCCTCCAGGTCAATAAGAATTTTGTTCACAAAACGGCCACAACTAGCGTTAATTAAACTTTAATAACATAACATAACATCACGCCTTTCATTAACACCCATTTTTCACTATTTATGTTATGAGTGCCATGTAATAGGGGGTGAGCCTATTGCCATATACCGGGCACATTTCCAGACTCCGTGCTATTACTGAGATTTTTTTTAAAAAACCCAGTAATACTTTGCCCGTCCCGGGAATCGAACCCGAAACCCCTTGCCCGGTAGTCGCACTTGCGACCACTCGGCCAACGAGGCAGTCTTTAATACAATACACATATGTAAGATACCTACGTACTAAGATGTATAACATATAAAAGCTGTGGTTTGTGCCAACCCAGGGTACAACATAAACACTTTCAAATAAAAGAGCTCCTGTTACTGGTATACACAGTATTTTATTATGAATAATGTGTTTTGCATTACTAGGTACAGGTAATCGGATTATTGGTTTAATTAATTTAAAAAGAGTTGCCTAGTCCACGCAGCGATGCAAAAAAAAATGGCAGCGGGCTCCAAACCCCGCTTTCCAATGTTGACATTTTCAAATCTCTTTCAGGCTTTGAAATGAAATATGAATTCATCGGAAAACTGTGTATCACGGTTTGATGGAGCAAAGACCATCTGTCTGTGCAATATTTTTAACTAATACCAGTCAACTCAGTTTATGTTTGGCTTATGTATAAGTACTTACAGTGTTGAAAACGAAATACTTATTACCTAGGACGTTATGAAAAGGCGAACATAAAATCACTTAGAAATGATTGAACTGCCAAAATGTTAGTAGGTTATTTATGTATGTGTGCGTGTATAATGGGTTACCACGTTACCAGACTTAAGAAAGTGACATATGTCCTTTGTGTCAATGTGTGTATGTTCTGCGTGTAAGTCTATAGTAACCAGGTGCCACAGTCGTTGTTTCAAGAGACTGTCACCTTTTTTTAACCTTCTTGGTTATTATTTACATATTGGCTTGAACTTTATTTGTTTAAGTGTCAGTTTTAAATGAGTGAGGTTTTTCTTCTATATCGTTAGTTGGTCATTATAAATGAATATAATTCATTACATCTAGACCCAACACAACATATCTATACCACCCACAGTCAAACTGCTAAACCGGTTTTGTGGGAATAAGTTGTAAACTCAATATCTGTACACTGTTGTATAAATAAATAAATAAATAAATAATGGATCACCGAAATAATTTTCCTATGTAGAATTGGAATATAGGTAAGACACGCAGCTTTAAAGCCGATTTCCCAGTCACTACGCCAACTTTACTCCAAAGGCTACCTACACATTACAATAATGTAGCGTTACATTAACATCTGAAAAGCAAACAATGAATTTAACAAACAGAATGTTAAGGATTATAATTATTAATTTCAAAGGTTTTGCCTTACAAAAACAACTCACATGCAGGTATTCAAGTAATTAAATTAAGTCTATCGTACTAAATTAATATCCCTTTCGATTTTACAGAACATGACAGGTATATTAATTTATCAATAACAAGCTGCGTAATATTAATGCATCAATTTAATTTCCATTTGTTTTGCGAACGTAATCGGATTATAGACTCTCAATGCAGAAATCTGTTGATTTTTTATAACAAAAATATATAAAACGACTACAGCGACCGTAGAAATAAAAACAAATATTTTCCCACTCCAAATGTTTCGAATTCCCAAGTTTTGAAATGGAAACATAACTTCGTTAACTTTGCAAATACAACAACAAGTAAGATTTAAAAATATGCCACGTTTGATACTGTTTGCGTTTGATGTAAATCATTTGAGTTTTTTGATTAGTTCTAGCTAAATATGAAACACCAATAAATATAAATCGACAACTATAACCTCTTGTTCCACTTGATCTCGAAGATGCGATTACTGAACACATAAGTTAAATTATTATTCATGATGGACTTGGATTTTTTTATTTCTACTAGACATTAATGTACTTATTGAGAATTCAAATATTTAAGATCAATAAAAAAGAAATAATACAATTAAAAGTTTGTTTTATTTAGGCTGTGTGAATATCCCGCTTCGTGAGATCCCGTCAACCGGTGTCGAGGCTTGGTACAAACTGGAGGCTCGCTCGCAGCGCTCCTCTGTGCAAGGTCGCATCCGCCTACGACTGTGGCTGTCAGCAAGAGAGGCAGGTCGACATGATGATGACAACTGGCAACAGGTAACAATACCGACGTAAATCCTTTCCTGGATTATAATGAATATTCGCCCATTTGTTTCTCTATGTTACGTACCGTGAGGTGAGGTAGTTCCGTCCACCTTTCCATAATCCATACGTACACTCGTAAACCGCCTACGTACTTTATTGTTTTATTATAATTTTGAGAATTGCATAATTAGATAGAGTAAAGTTCTATGAGTTCTAGTATATGTCCGAAGATAGGTACCAGTAACAATCAATAAAGTGTGGGTACATAAATACAAATAGATACTAGTCTATTTAAGTCTATGTGTCTAAGTCTAGGGACTTTGATCTCAGTTTCTCATTTGACAACAATATGGACATTTTCATTTACACTATAATTAGAACTGCTGTGCTCCTCATTTGCATATTGATTCATTCCGGGTGTAGCGAGGAGAGTTTGTAGCTTGGGTTAAAGTAAACTACTACTTAAAGTTTGTTGTAGCTAAGAATCGCAAATCCCTTGCATTGTTAGTCAAGTAGGTAACTAAGTTACCGAAGTAATTCTTTCAATAAAAAAGGTATCGTAGTTACATCAGTGGCCTCAAGTTTGACCACAGATGAAACAAACAAACCGTATTCAGTACGTCATATAATGCTCCGTGCGTAGAATCAAACGGACGTGAAATCGAAAACCAAAGCACTTTTCCGTCCGAATAAAATAAAATAATTCTACGACACGATTTTCTTGCGTTCATTTAGCCCTTATTTTATACTTCAGTTCCTTCGATATAATAACGGTATAGCTCTTTAATAAGCTTGAATATATGAACAATAAACATAATTGATGTGATGTACATTGGAGTTAGGTACACAGGTCCTGCTATTGATACGGCTCGTATAGTGCATTCTATGTAAAGCGTTTTATTGGCTCTTGCAGTGAACCATTAGTAGATGATATATAGGTGTATGAGAGGGCTTTGTGTAGCGGCAAATATAGCGCTATCGTCAGGGACGACCCGCGTGTCAACCACGCTCCATCGCCCTTGTTGTTATTTTGGATCATATTCATCCTCTTTTATTTGCTTAACAACCCATAACCGATATAGATTTATCTGATATCGATAATATTCAGGTATTTTTAGCACCGAAATTAGCAATATCACCTTTTAAGGCAATTAAAATCTCATTACACGTAAATACCCATTACGTATAATCTAAATAGAGTATTGTTTAACAGCTGTCATCACTGTATGTATTGAATGAGCCTCGACAATCTTGAATAGGAGACTAATCATATAAAAGTCAAAAAATAAAATTTATTTCAATAAAAGAGATCATGAACAAACTTACGGTTTAGTGCGTTATTTTATGCGCAAACACGTAGCGGTTTTTCATACACAAACACCTTATATTTACAATAACTTGGATAAGAATGAATTTACACTTAAGAATCTTTCAGTCTCGATAAAGATTTCTTCAGTATCTCGATAACGTATTCAAAGTATTCAGTGACTGAATCTCTCTTTTAGCCCCGCGTAATCAACTGAGCGAGCGACTGAAGCGAAATTGCGATTACACGATAAATCCAATTTATTCCTCATAGGTGCTTTTTTCAGTGTGACTCAGTCAGTGGTACTGGCTTTTGTACGCTTCAAAAGTTTTCACATGGCCGTTTTATTATTTAGCTTTGGAGACTTATTTATTCCTAAGAAATCTCTTTTAAATGAAAAGGGTCTTAAGCCGAACCGAAAAAGCAAAGGACAATCGGGCACGGCTATCTGCATTTTAATATTAAAAAATTCTTACAGTGTACCTAACTCATATTTTCCAAAAGGTACTGGGGAAGTTGATTAATATTTCAAGTATTTTTATTAATAAGTAATTTAATCGTGAAATGGTTACCGTACATCATCGTACTATAATAATTGACCAAGGTACGTCAACACGAGCGTCTGTTCGGCGTGCTACTGGCTCACGAGGTTGAGATGCAGCGCGCAGCAGCTGCTGCGGCTGCCGCTGCTGCAGCGGCCGCGGCTCCGGCAGGAGCTGCCGCAGCACCGGGACAGCCCGACCCTAAGATTGCCACCACACCCACACCACCATGGGACGGTGACCTGTGTGGAGCTGCTCAAACGCTGCTACACCAGCACGCTATACAGGGCGATCTCAGTGCGTTACAGGCGGCTATCGCTCGCTTCGCTGCTGCTTGTCGTCTGAACGCTGATGCTCCTCTCGATCCTAAGTAAGTGATGTATCTCAAATTATTATTAATATTGGCGACTCATTAGCCCATAGGAGTTCACAAAACGTTATAAGTATCCGGTGATTTTTAAAGCATTTGGATCTTTAACTCTTGAACCTATCACTTTGTAGCAAGTCTATTGGAGATTTTTTACAATTTTTCTATCTACAATTTCTGATAACAATTTTTACTTTAAATGGCTTCATTCGCTTGGTATAGGTATATGCACAAGCTGCTGATAGAGTTGGAGCGGGCTTGGTGTGCCTGCGAGGCCATATCTGGCAGTGGCAGCGGTGACTCTGGCTCGGGTGCCTCCCGTGATGAGGAGCGCTGGCTCGCCGATTGCTTCGGCGAGTACGTGGACCGCGCGCTGCATCAACTGCGCCTGCATCGCGACCTCTACCCCGTGCTGCACCAACTTAGCATCAACAAGTCAGTCATGCAAATAACCTTACCAATATTTAAGAGACTTTATACTGCCTTAATTTTTTACTTCAAGAATTTTATATTATAGTTTAATCGACTATTTGATAGAGTCCGAAGGTCTGGTAAACAATAGATGTATATTATAATACTTTTGTATTAGATAGTAAAATAGGTACTTGCTTTTAATATCCTAGCTTAGTAAAGTTATATTTATATTTCCGAGTTGATATTTGTTTGACATTTGGTGCTTAATATAATCATTCCACATGACGAGCTCGTAATATCGCAAGGCAGTACTTCATAAAAATAAACAAACCAATGAGTGGGTGGCGGCTAGGTTTATTTTCAAAACATTCCTCGGAGACTAAACTTTATCAGTGTATATTGGAATTGAATGGTACTTTACATTCCTATTTAGTCGCTCAAAGCGAGCTCTTACACGCACGGGATTCGATTTACTTGTGCTCGTGGCATCTGTCTAGATAAAGCCTTTTATTCCGACCGTACTTCGAAATTCAACACTACGAACAAAATTAAGAGCGTACGTTCGATGGCGATTACGATACTAGCCGTTGCAATAGTTTTGGGATAAAACTTTAATAAAACCGTTTAAAAATTACTAAATACCAAAAAAGTTAAGAGGGATTTCGTTTTAAAAAAATAATGGCTTCTTTTATACATGGTACAGAAAGTTGTTATTCGGATCTGTTTAATTTAACAATCACAAGTCTAAATATAACTCGTCTTGTAACCCAATAACCAGTTGTATGTTGATTGGCTGTTAAGTGTTGCGTGCAACATAAACCTTATAACTAAACATAATAACAGCCGTGTTTCTTGACAAGTTTACAATAAAATCTACCCTTGTAATCTTTAGGGTGCTGGAATAATTGATTGAGCCGGTAAACAAACGCCTACCGGGTCGGACTCTTGACGGCATTAATTTACCTTTACATAAAATGTCGCTTACTTATGATTTATTTAGATTATTAATTACACGGTAGCACCTCAGCTCAGGTAGTACCCAGTTACCTACTATACATAGGTATTCAGCAAAACATAAATTACTAGAACATTTTGTCCGACAAACGGTTTACTACATAATTATACAGCGCGCTATGATATAATTAAACATTAATTAATTCATCGGAACTAGTATGTAATGCGGTAATGTAATTACTGCAGAACCGAAAGATAATATCTGTATAATAGAGACTGTATAAACTAATAATTGCTTCTGTGGAGAACTGTAACTGAATACCATTGTCGCTAACTATAGTAATATCGATTACAGATTATAGTTTCTATTCAGACATCAAGCACGTGCTTGTAACAATGTGAATACATTGATAGTTACTAATGAGATAACAAATAATATTGTCTATAATTGTCACTACAGCTTAAAGTTTATTTTCAAACAATTAGCCTAATTACTTATTATATATCTTTAGATAAGATAATTTAGCACTCACACACACAGCACACACTCAAACAACTTAGTAACAGTACATTTTAAAGAAACACTTTTAATTAAATGCGTCATATTATTATGATGTCGCTGTCAAACAAAAATGATCCCTATAAAGGAATGTTTTATTGCAACACTTCACTCGACATTCTTCCTTGATCTATGTCTGAGAAGAAAATAAACTTTCCAAAGTGAAAAAAATTATCCAATTAGGTTGAGTGGCCACTTCCAAGATTACCTACTTCAAGCACAAACAATATTTCTTTTCTTTATTATATTCGTTCAGACGCGGTGAAGTATTACAAAGCTGTGTTTTACATGAATTATGACCATTTAATGGTCTTTTATTGGTTCTAAACGAATGGTTTTATTTTTAGGTCCTAATCTTTAAACGTATCGACCTACGCTCACATTTTGCGAATAGCTATTTAAAATCATGTAATCGGGTCAGAACGAAGCTGTAGAATATTTATTTCATCGATCGACTAGCACGGTATTATTTCGCCTCGAGAATTGTTAAAAACTGGCAATTGTGAGTTGGACTGGCACATAAAGGCCAGACAGGGCCAGACAACAGAGCTCTAGTATTAGTAATTAGGCCTTGTCAACATCCTTCGGGTACAACCCTAAATAGTAGTCGAAAATTTGTTTATTCCGAAATGAATGTCTCATTGTCAATTAATCCATAAAGCGACCTTCTGAAATATCATTTAGTTGACTCTGTAGTAACTACGTACATAGAATTGAGTTGACCCGTAAAATGTATAGCCGCACTGTTTTAATGGATCTGGTAACTTTAAATTGAGTTATTGTCTTTAGGTTGGAGTATCTTCTGCGATGTTTGAGCCAGCTCTCGCAAATGAAGGCTTTCTGGCGATGCTGTCCGTTTAACAAGGAAATAAGGCAAGTGGAACGATTCTGTTCAATGACATTTTCGTTGTAAATATAATTATTGTGTAACTTTGTATCAGTTATCTCGTTTGTTCAGCTTATTCCGAGAATAATCTACACGTGTATATTTTGGCGTACTGTATGGACATAAAATTTTCCTGTTATAATTTTGAAATGAATTTAATGTTAGCTACATAATAATTGTATCTATTTTTGACTGGCCCGTTAACCTAGCGGTTGTTTATACGAATAATAATATTGTAAAGAAAGAAAATACATACTATGCAATGTCTAGAATTTTCTCTATCCACACCAAAAAGCATTAATAAAATCCAATCAAATCAAACTTGTGGAGACGCTTCGTATAAGAAAAATCATCTACACATATCGAGTCATGAGCTGTGACATATTGTTTTCATCAACAAAAATGTTTGCATCCTCCATTATTAAATGTAACCACGTAATTCTTACCTAATTATATGTCTCTCAAAAACTTGGAACAGAGACATTAGACAAGCGTAAATTATTCGGAAGAGACAGCGTGGTTTCATAGTTCCCAGAGTATTTTTCGCGAGATTAAAGTCAGCTTTTCGCCCTCGCCAAATGAGTTGGGGGAGAGGATCTAGCACAGCATTTTCTAAATAATTGCCTTTGCAAATGGGTACGTTAAATAGCTGTGAAAATGAATCTGTGTGGTGTTGCCAGATTACAGTTTTTGTTGTGGCTTCTAACGTTGTAATTTAAAGATTCTAGGATCTAAAACAATGCTGAATGAACCTTCTCACATCATTGTTCAGATCCATTTTATTGGTATTTTTTTTAGTTTATGCCACTAATCAATAATTACCCGATTATCCAGTGGTAGTATTGCACAAAATAAAATTCAGCTTGATGTCAGCAGCACGGACACAACGTTCTTAGTACAAACTAAAAATCCTCGTGCTAACTCTCAGACTTTCCAACTTTCAACTATTCTTTATATCACTGTCGTAATTATATAGAATTTTCTAGTGACTATGACAACTGGAACCATCTTTCTCTTTAATGCTTGAGAGTAAAACTATGTACTTGAAGACTGCCAAACTAAATCCTACACTCAACTTTTAGTTGAACGAGTCAGTCATCTCGGTCTTATACTAAAGGTTCGATCAATTGAAAAGCACTTACAATACACAGCAAATTTGTATTTAATAAACAACTACAAGGCTGTCCTGTGACATTTAAAATCACTTCTAAAGTGCCTTTCCTTGCACAATATATTCTATTGTGGGCACATGTGCTACTAAAATTGAGTGAGGACCACAAAGCGATAGTAACTAGACCAATAACTCGAACAATAACGGTGCACGATAGGAGCGAGATAGTGACTGCGCTCCGCAAGGGCACATCCGAGTGGTACGAGGCGCTGTGTGGCCAAGACACCCACTCCGAGCGAGGGGAGGACCTCGTCAACCTGATCACTCTCATACAGATTGACCTGCAACAAGGCCTTACCTACTACCACCCACTCTTCGAAACGTAAGTAATAACATCTTACTTTACCCTAATTTAGTCGTGTCTACAAAACTTGGTGATTACAATTTAACCTAAATCTTGTTTTAAGATTTTACTTAGATTAGAAATTTATCTTAACTTTTGTTAAGAGTCAGCTACTTTTGTTAGTGATTGTTGAAGCGAACTTCTCCAGTTATAGAATTTGTTCTAGTTTTCAGACAAAATTATCTTAGATAAATATTTAATAATCTGAAATACAATTACAGACATTTATTTGTCTGTAATATTTTACGCTGCAAGAAATCTTCTACAAACCAGTTTTATGAATCTAATTGCGGCTCAAAAGCTAACAGCCGGATCCAAGCCCTTTGCCTAAGTTCCAAATAAGTGGTCCCCACGGAGGACCCTTTAGTTGAATTCGTCAAAATTTTCCTCATCAAATTGATTTAATTAAGATTTAAATACAATTTACTGTAGTGTAATAAAAGAGGAGTTAGGTGGTGTGTGTCAATATTTATTTATCGATGTTCAGTTCCGAGTTTCCATTGTCGTCCGTGGCCCCATTCTTCACTACTATTACGTAAAGGAAACTGCGGGCGGGAAGTGAGCGTGTCCCAAGCGATTTATGCGGTTCATATTTCCCGTTGTACAAAATTTCACTTGTCTTTCTATGCAGGACCAACAACGTGCCGTACTTCAGCATCGTCTTCACACAGATAGACAAAATGGTAAGTGACTAACGTTATTACGTACAGTTGACAGATACAGGTCTGCCGCACTCGTGTTCAATCATTGTCTATTGTTAGATTCACCTGTTACTTTAACCAACATCGACATATTACACTCGTGTGAACACACAATAGATATTTATTTTATATCGTGACTAGCCGTATCCACATTATCTTATTTTTATTCTTAAATCAGTACGACTTATTCAAAGTTTATACATATATTGTTATAGGAAGATACGAAGCTCACAATAAAAATTTGCTTTTTAATAGGTTACGTTAGTTGATAAAAAATACGTTTAATAACTCGAGACAATTTGTCTAACAAATGACTCCAATAGAGCTCCGCATAATGCATAATTGATGAGACAAATGCATTCCCGTATAATTTCCCACCAACCATACGTTTATCTTTAGTCCTTGTTGCATATTTCAATAACGACATGAACCAGGTCATTGCAGGTTATACCAGTATATCGCATATCGACCTTCTATTCAATTTTAAGTACATAAATTACTAATACGGTACATACTTTTAAGGTTTTGCCTTCGTCATTAAGCTTACGTAATACGTTATTATATATGGTCACATTCATATTCCCAAAGGAATAATTATTTGTGTGATACTAAATTCCGGAACTGAGAGTCTATAAATATATGTTTTGAACACATATACGATCTTCTTGGTCCGAGGCAATGATTAAATACTTTTTTTCTTTTACGCTAAGATTTCCTTTATAACGACGTACATTTAATGATCCTATATTTTGTAGCTGTCCGAGGACGTGAGGAATTGTGTGGAGCACTGGGTGGTGGAAGGCTGGTGCGGCGTCGTCGAAGAACCAATGTACGACGAGCACGGAAACGGTGGTGAGTTCATATAGAACAAGAAGCATATTATAATATTCTCTTTTATCTATTTACCCAACAGGTACCCTGTTTTATGTATTTGAAATATTATTGTTATTATGCTAATACAATGCAATTTTGACTGCCTCGTTGGCCGAGTGGTCGCAAGTGCAACTGCCGTGCAAGGGGTCTCGGGATCGATTCCCGGGTCGGGCAAACTATTACTGGATTTAAAAAAAATCTCAGTAGTAGCACGGAGTCTAGAATTGTGCCCGGTATATGGCAATAGGCTCACCCCCTATTACATGGGACTCATAACATAAATAGTGAAAAGTGGGTGTTACACTGTACTGTAGCATAATGTGCACCTCTGCTTACACCTTCGGGGATAAAAGGCGTGATGTTATGTTAAGTTAATGCAATTTGAGTGCCTGAGAGAGTCTAGGAACATTATACGGGTCATAAGCAGGAATTCTGACCGGTATGTTATGACCATTGACCTTACCTATTACAGATGATTTTTAAAACATTATATGATTGTGCATCTCTGCTAAATCCTTTTTGAAGTAAAATACCTACATGACGTTATGTTATGTTTATGTTTTCTTAATATTTTCTCAAGACAGTTGCAAGTTGGTGTTAGATTAGACGATGTTCCCAACAATTTAGGCCGACAGTGAATCCCTCGAGAGTTTTCCATTTCTTACATGAGTGGGCCCAGACTATACCCAAGTAATGACACGTCGATACTATCGATAAAACGTCTATCGAAAATATACATAGACCCTGATCTATCTCGGTAAACTTTCACGAAAATATTCCAACGAAATTCTATTGAATTTTCATGTACTTTTGTTGTACTGTATTTTATTTTCCGAAGAAAAATAGTCGATTGTTAGACCTTGCATAGCTTGCAGCAAGTCGTTAAAACAAAAAAAAATCTATACTTCACTCATCAATTCGTATGGTAACAACGTTCGATGGATTTTATATACACGTGTGCCTACTAAATATAATACATGTATGTATATAAATATATCGGTTCTGAATAAACAGGCACACATCAACTTCAGTATTTTGTAGGTACTAAAAAAAGCTTGTAAAAACCGATAACAATTTTTCGCGGAAAAAGTTTTGAAATAAAACTGTCTGCTATAAATATTTACTCGCAAAGGGCAGAAAAATATGCAAGGCTTCGAAAGGTCAACATCACCAGTATATTCTATAACTTATCTATATTTAGATTGTAAATTAATAAACTGAAGTCGAGCCAAGTATTATGGGAACATCTGGTGTCTGCCAGTTTTCGAAGTGTAGGTATTATTAAAACATTTTGCTGATACTGAAATATTTGCTATGATATGTTCAGTGGTATAGAAAACTAAGTTTCTGTATTCAAACTAATTTATGCAGCTGAAAATCTATGAAAATATTACTTAAAATTCGTTTAGGTATTGTTGCAAATAGCTCTGCATCTTTACATACGCACTATACGTAATTAGATGCCCATATAAGACATGCATAGCCTTCTTTTATTTTTAACTAGTTTCTAGTTAACCAGTAATACCTTCCTACATACGATGGTATGACTGTTGGTTTTTCTATTACTTAGTGTGCCTAGTGACGATAGCGAAGACGCTGCCGTTTGAAGTGTTGTCGGCGGTACGCGAGCTATGCGCTGCGGCCGCCCTCGCGCCGCAACCGCAGGCGCATCCCCACGCACCGCACGACCCGCCACCGCAACTGCTCGACGCCTACCTGTGAGTACCTACTTTATTAAGTAACCCATCGCGTCAGTTTCCTTGGATTTTCTTCAAACTAATCCATGGATGTGTTGACGTAGGTACAATGTTTAAAAAATCAATGCTATTATGGGTTTAGACTAAAGACCGACTACCTACATACATAATTAGCAGTTGCGTTTGGTATCTACATACATGTTTACCAAGTAAAATAAGTTACATACATTTTATAACTTGTTTTTGATTAACTACATACATACGTACCTTTTATAATGTTATAACTATTTCTAGACTAGGTTAATCGGAGCTACGTAACGTTAACAACGTCGGGCATTTATAGCCTATCTCTTGTCTATATTTTGGTATGGTTCGTGTTATATTGTATTTGAGAATATTCAATAGTTTACTCTATGAAACTATGAACAATAGCTCTCCAGACGCCTATATATAGAAACTAAGCTTCACAAACCGTTAGTGTACATCCTACCTTGTACACCGGGTATCGAATAGGTTACATAATTGGATATTCCAGATAGGGCACGGCGGGTAAGCTTGCGTCACTATTTATTCAGCTGTCACGATGTGTTAAACTCTCGAATATCCTGCAGCACCTAATAGATTCAGGGTAATACGACCTCCTCTGATCTGTCACGCCGTATGAACCGACCGTTAACGTTAATCTGGTTTCCAGCTAGTTTGCTACCACACAGAGTGCCACTGACAAATGATTGATTAAAATCCGAACACAGTGACAAAAGGCAGCCGTTTTCAAACGAAATTGGAATATTTGATTTTGATAACTTGATTTTTATGATTCGAAAATTCTTTCTGTTTTTTCTTTCCTGCCAGCGAGGCATCAAAAACATTAATCAAGTAAGCGATAACGAGGCATGTCAAATCCAATTGTTATTCGCTAAACAAGATACTTGTAACAGCTTTAAATAATACGGTTAAGAATTTTAGTAACTTTTTTATTGTTGGTACATACTTTCCGTTGAGACAAGTAATTTTTATCTTTGTTTTTTATACATAATTCAATCTCATTCCCATCATGACCATGTATATGTACACGAGAAGCCATAATATCAATTATAACGAAAAACTGAAAGATTTATATTCCAACCCTTACTTATCGACCACGAACGCGGAATGAAAGTACAATGAGCATAATCAATATTCTTTTCAAGCTGTAGTTATTTTTAGCTGTTGTGTCCTTTCTGAGAGAAAATTCCAATTTGTACAAATCTATTCTCTAACATCACGATTTTACAAGGAAATAATTTTCAAAAAGATTTTTTAATCCCAGCTCAAAGTATATCTAAGTTCGTTGAAGGCGCTGAGCTTCAAAAGTCTTGCTAATTAACGAGTCTTATCAGAAACTGAACGGATTAACTGAAGGAGTACTTTCAGTGTTCATGTTGCACAACTTGGTAATTAGTGGTAATTAGTAGCAGAGCGTAAATGTGGTCTAATGAACGTCTTGTTCAACGGTCGCGAGAAAATAGCTAAGAATGAGATCTTGCGTTGCATTCCCGAATTAAAGGTGGCTTCTTTTATCCGTTAGGATTCCAAGTTATAATGGCAAACTATAAAGTCATGCTGATATCCAATGTTCTTGAAAATTATAAAGAACTTAAAACTTATTTCAGTCCACGAAAATAATCTTACAATAGAAATCTTAAAATAGAAAAATAGCTCAGTAAGTAGAACCTATCCCAAACATCTCTACTTACCCCTTCGAATTTGAAGTAGTAGTTATATAAAATTGTCAAGCAATAACAATGCCGAATAGATACGGTTCCACAGTTTTCGCTGTATTAATGTTATTGTGGTCGCAGGTGGTTCGAGCCGCTGATCGATCGCTGGCTCGCCGTCACCAAAACTATGGCTCTGCAGCGAGTGCGAGCCGCCGTCGAACTTGGTAAGTCTCATGTCATCTCTTATTTATTTGTTACTTATATCATTAGTTGTGACGTGTTCATCTTCACACTCATCTCTTGAACAGGGTAATATATCACTAATGTTGTATTGTATTTTGGAGTATGTCTCTCTATTTATCACTTAAATGAATCCAATCGGTAATGAATTTAAGTCTCAAGAAAATCCATTTCATGATCTAGTAGTGCTTTCAATGGTTAAGTTGGAATATTTTCTTCAGTTCAATTAGTTCAGACAATAAAATCGTGATCAAAAACAGGTTTATCATCTTTCTATGCCGTTTATGGGCCATTTTTCATACTGACATAGAATTAATACTTAAAAGAAAATATTATCTAATTTTATATATAATGACGTTAATTGTAAGAACATTAATTACAACATTTGAGATTTAATTGTTTGTAAACACATTAAACTTGCCTGTGAATTACGACGTGTAGTTAAAAGTGAAATAATTAGTATGAGGTAATTTGTCAAAGTGTAAATTGGGGACGATCACGTAATCATTTTTAAAATAGAATTAATTTCTACTTATGTGTTTACAAAGAACTGACATCATACGTAAAAATAAACCTTTTAATTCTTTGTTTGATTTAAGTGATGAACATTATTAATGTGTTTTATACTTTCAACTGTTGCTTTAACGCATAGAAATGTTATAAACACACTTATAGAATATTCTATTATGGAGCCTATAATTTGTGAAGAGATCATGGCATGTCAGGGTAAAAAGTGATTTTCAAAGGAGGCAGTATAATTGTTGTTAAGGCAAAAGGCGAAAGTTCACACCCCACGTTAGGGCCGACCATTTAGATAAACATCGGATTCTAACTGTGCCGTAACACGAAACGTTTTATTGGACCGAGACAAATAAAGTACTGCTTCTAAATTGTTATTATACGTACAGATGACATATTAAAACCTTCGCTGTCTTCAAAAATTAACGTCAGGCTTCTTTTTATTACATTTATTAGTTACAAAATTAAAACATTTTGTTAGATTTTGTACGAAGTCCTCTTAGGTTCTGATAAATGGATACGAAAAGTATACTATAACGTATCCAATATCTGAGTAAATAAGCATGTGAAAAGTTGACCAAACCCTAATTGATCCTTAACTTGACATAATATCCAATACCCAACTTAATCTTGTTATTACTTTATTGAAAAAGTTTCGACTTCATGCTTCATTTGTGCTTAGGATCTCGTTTGTGATTTTTTGCTGACAAACATTTGATTAAGTATTTGTCGAAAGGTAGCATCAAATGTTATTGAATTACACCAAAGCATAAAAGGAAAGATACCATTATGATAATATTCATTTTGATGTTCCCGAGTAGATTTGATAGAAGTTGTAGAATATTATATTATAGCTTATGAAATAATGTCGTTTGGAGACATCGTTCACTTTGTAATGGAGAATTTATTTGCAGACCGGCCGGTGGAGGGGGAGCACCTCGTGAAACACAGCACCTCGTCTGTGGACACCGCGGCCTGGTGAGTGTGAACTAGATAGTTATTGTAATCTGACTTTGAATGTCCGCACTACTACTAGGACATCGCGTCCTCTCTGTGTAGGTCGTAATCCATGTAGTCCCGAGGGAACAATGGTAAATGCTTCTAGAATTTCGTAGTATTAGTTCGTATTTACTTGTAATAATATTGTTATAGGTTCTTAATAAATATTTTGAAACACCCACACTATTTTGCGGACGAACACGCACCTAACTTCTTGTAATTCAAGACTCGGTCTAACAATTCAAGGCTTCATAAAAGTATTAGTATTTAGTTGGTACATATATTGCCGCCGATCCCTGTCACTACGTGTGCCTGTATATATCATTTTATCCGTATATCACACACCAGATTTCGCCCTTCAATTTTCAGATCACGCACATTGTTAAGGGTTAGGTATTCAATACGTATTACCTACCTTATTGGCTTTTAACACCAATATTTTTACCAATAACCATCCGACGTCCCATTCCCTAACCTACTAAACATGACAAGGGTGGTACTAAAAGAAATTTAGGGACAAAATTGATTTATTCGGTCGTCATTCTGTCTGAATAATTAAGTCCCGTAATCTGTTATCTGTAAAAAAAATGGTGGGTACATTAAAATACTCATATTTAAACGTTAATAGTCATTCTTAGTAATATTTTCTTAAAAATCAACTTAGGAGTCTGAGTATATAAGGAAGAAAACCAAGAGAAGTACTGTTAGCACGAAAACTCTGAGCAAACCTGAAACAATTACTATAAAACTTTAATAGAAAATATGACAATCTTTTATAGCTTTCGGGCAAAAAAAATAACGAATATTCATGTAACTACGATGAAAATATAATATTTAACAACATTTACCATAAACACTACTAAATATGATATATATTCATAAGGAATAAAGCTTTTCCTTCCGCAAAGATATCAGTAAAACTAAGGGAAAAATACCAGTAAATTGTTTAAAAGCCTTGCTACTAAGCTTATTTCTTCATACTTTAATGCTCTCAACAGGTAATTCTAGATTTCTAAGGAAATGTGGAACATTTTCTCTACATAATACCATAATAGACTTTAGTAAACTGAGTTGAATTTACTATTTAATTCGCTGTATACGCGCAGGTAATGTACCTGTATATTTTATATTTAAAGTCGAGCTTTACCGGCACATATTTAACTTTGTCACTGTTATCTGGCTAAAAATGAACAGGGCTGTCAGTGCCCTTGTTTAAATAAGCTTTTTGTGCACGATGTGAACCGTGTTACGGACTTTTGTAGCTTTACGCTTTTATATTTTTATTTTTAAGTCGGTAAATAAAACCTTAAACCATTTGTCATATAAAATGTTTCGTAATGAGAGATTTTCACAAGTTAGAACAAGGGGATTTATGACGTAATTTATAAAATACTTGCCTAATAAATACTAATTAATAAACTTGAAGTTTAACTACTAAAAGTCACTAACCCAAGTATAGAGAAAGAAGTTTCTCTTTCTTATTTTTCATTTTCGTATATTAGGCCACTGCGCCAACTTACAAACATATTTTTTTCTACTTAGCGTCGGTTTTGCCCCGTCGTATATCTTAACTGCGTCTGAATGAAAAAATATTTCTGCAACAACTTATTTTATGACGTAGCCTGTACCACATGCGCCTGGTATGGCGCTCAGTGGGTGGCGCTGAGGAGTGTACATCGGGTGGAAGTGTGCGCCTGCTGGAAGCCGCCTGCGCAACAGCACTGCACTACGCCGACCTGGTACATGGGGCACTCGCTGACCAGGGCTACTATGAGAACCATGGTAACTTCAATTTACCTCTGTAGGCGTCCAATTGTTTTACCTTACAGAGTTGTCGGTCTTTTACTAAAACACCATCTAGTCTTAGGGATAAATTTTATTTTAATGGTTTTACATTTTTACTCATAACAACTTTTGGTTTTATCATTTTTTTAATAAACTATCATTGGTAGTTGAATTTTCTGAAGTGCCTGTTCCTTATTTCTTGGTGTTATTTTCTTTATAATAATAATGCGTGTCTTTATGAGAAAACGACTGTAAAGAGATTATGAAAAGCGAAGACATTTGCAAAATAAAATTACTTTACAAAGGCTAGTAGAACATGATTAAATGTGACAGTTATTTATTAATACCAACGGGACAACGTGTGCTAAATGAGTTCCAACGAATGCCCTACTTACTTCCAATCGTTGGTGGAACAAAATACGCCTGAACAAATATGTCACTTGATAAATTGTCACAAACATACAATATGAACGTAATTGACGTAGGTATTACAAATATTTGTTTTATTGTGTATCGACATATTACAATTTACAATTTATTGTTTACCTACGAATTTTTAGTGTCCAAACTTAACTTATAACCTTCATATTAATATTGGGGAGTTATTTATCCTGTTAGAACACAACTAAACTTACTAAAAAACGTATTATCACAGGTCAGAACAAAACGACGGAGGAGATATGCACGATTGTGAACAACTTGGAATATGTGCGGCGCTCTCTAGCCGAGTACGACGACGAACACATGTAAGTGCGAGCTGATCTCTGGACCGTGAATATTGCGCGTTCCACACTCGTGAAGCACAAACTTCATAAATTCCACACAAACAAATATACATCTTAGGTGCACCGTTTTAAAGCTTATATCGGCATACATTTACCCTGGGATAAGTTACAGAAATTGTCATGCAGCGATTGATAGAACATTAAACGCTCTGCTGCACAGCGTCTTCATCCAACCTGAAAATATTAACAGCGTCGTCATCTTGTCGAAGATGTTGTTTATTCAACCTTAACGCGTTACACTAACGTGCATTTTATTACGAACAACAAACGAGCGCCTTAACAGATGAAGAGTATCGTTTGGCGATGGCTCGTAAACTTGATACAAATTGTTTGTTAATGTTGTTATTGTAACTTAATGGCTTTAGGTAAGCTCCTAAACATTTGTTTGTACGCAAAACCTTCAGTTCGCGCACCACACAGCCATTCCGAAGTTTTAGTGGTCCTTAAGAACAAATCGCCCTGGGATATAGCCATCTCGTGTTAATGGCCGAACTTGTCCCGAATGAACTGCTGTAGAATCTTTTTACATTTTACGAGCTGGTACATCAGCAAGCGTGCCTATCAACTCGTAATGTAAATACTTATCACGCAGTCGGTAATAAATCTTAATTAAAACTAAAACAACTTGAGAACTACTTATCTCTGTTCGAGTTCAAACTCAATCAAAACTTGGTACATTACGATCATCAGTTGATACCTGACAATTTATCCCGTGAATTGTGGTTTTGCATTAATACTTGATGTTTGCATTTCAATTAGTGTGCCGACATTTCAATTACAATTTCCAGATGCATGTCATAATGTCCAATGCGTGTTAAATGAACATTTCGCTCGGATTATTAAACATGGAACATTGAATGCTATTGACATATTCCATCTGTTCTTATAAATAAACTATATTGTCGTGAAATGATATTTATAACATTCTACACTTATAACACCTATATTGTAAGAATCAGTACAGTATACAGAAATATCTGAATTATTTGTCATGAAATATTTACCACTTTGTACTTAGTGTAAATGACGAGAACGCTCGTCAGTTGGTGCGCGGTGCAATAGGCACGCTGGACGCGCGGGCAGCTCGCGCGGCCGCGCCCCTGTCAGCCCGCGCGCGCCCGCATCTCAGGAAAGCCGTTTTCCACCTCGCCTGGTCACCTGACACTCTACCTACTACACAGGTAATTTCATTGTATACGTCAATCTTTTACTCGAACTGTTTTACACGAAAAATTTTACTTGATCTGAGTTTTGATAATTTACCTACTAAAGAGTATTTTGACACATGTTTTTTCATTTCTAATACACCTAATTAGTGTAAACAATGCAATCTGGATGACTAAATTTTAATTCCAACAAAATGATGATACTTGTATTAGGCAATAACTCCACTCCTGGAGTTTCTGGATCAGCATCTGTCCTCGCTGAACACGTGGCTGCTGCCACGTGCATTTATTCGCGCCTTGGGAGGATGCTGGAGTGGCGTACTCAAGGAAGTATCTTCTCAAGCCGACGCTGGCGGAGCCGAGCGACCACGCGTCTACCATCACAGGCTCAGGGAGGCACTAGATCTCTTAGCCGATTTCTTCCACGCTGAAGGAAAAGGTTTGCAACAAATAAGTTTCAACCATTAATCATTAAACAAAATTCATAAAATGCGTAGATAAAATATATTTTTGTACTTGAAACAAACTTTGAAACATAAACTTTTGGTTATAAATTATTTTTAACTATGACATAACAGGGGCTAAGTGAGTAACTTTAAATATAATATTTTGTACAATAAATACCTATGTATGTATTATATTAGCGCTAAAATGTTGACGAAGTTATCGCGATGAGTTAGGAACTCTCTGGCCGAGGACGTAAGAGGCTTAGATAGTAAACAATGGTTAATCGATATCTATTTTAGGTCTCCCGATGTCGGAGGTGCACAATACGGAATGGTTCCGCGTGGAACAAAGGATGGAGTACCATCAGGCGCCCACCGAGAAACTATTGGAGCTGTGGCTCGCTGATAGACTGGCCGAACAATCGCGCACACCACTGCCCTCGCGCTACGGATCCATACTTGTTCGGTTGGTGCTCTTGGCTTTATTAAACGAAAACATTATATTTATGTACACTTGTTAACACGATTCCAGATATTTGGCACAACTTTGTTTTGCAAATTTTATTGTTATATATTATTCCGCAAAACTTCCTTCCTTTAGCTATTCACTCTATTTTTTTCTATAAAAGTTGGTTTCCTTTTTTATATAAAGCAACGCTCCATCGCTTTTTGTCGTGTTAGTAATTTGGACAGAGTTCATTTCACCGAATACACACAAGTTTGACGATCTACTGAGCCGTGGTAACCTACTGTTTTTCAAGCTTTTCTTTATTACTTTAGGGTTTGTTCGAGAACAAGTTTTTCTGTTTGTGCTAAGGCTTTCTCTAAGACAAACATTGTTATCATCATGTTTACAGATATTGTTAAAGTTATTGCTTCGTGTAATGAAGTTCTTGTGTTTAATGTTTTGCGTTCTGTGCTCCGAATAAGAAAAGAGACGTTTAAAATATTATAAATTGGTCTAACAGCCTCATTTATCTCGGTTCCCCTGTAAACAATGTTTTATGTGAAACGGACAAAAGCATTGAACGGAAGTTTTTCCATTTGTGTTTGAAGAACAAAGAACACATTCATAGAATTAGTATCTAAAAGTAGAAAGTATCTCTGTACCTATGTAGTTACGTAAATAGCATTTAGCATTCCGCAGTCCAACATTATTGTTTCAAACGACTACGTTTGTGCTATTATCTTCATATTCTGAATTAAAATGGATAGTATTATGTGAATAGTTTCTGATGTAAGTATTATACACAAAAATTATATTCACACTTGAAAGTACCAAAATAAATAGTCTCCTGTTTGGAAAATTAAACTTTGAAATCAGAACAAATTATTCAAAACATATTTATAAAACGTAATTACTTTGTAGTATCATAAGCCTTCATAATTACAACGACAAATTGCGTGTACGAGTATCATTTGAGAATAAAGAGGAGCACAGAATATGACGTCATTTTATTTTAAATACCTTCAAGTTATCTTCGCTGGCCGACTGCCTCGTTGGCTGAGTGGTCGCAATTGCGACTGCCGAGCAAGGGGTCTCGGGTTCGATTCCCGGGTCGGGCAAAGTATTACTGGGTTTTTAAAATATTCTCAGTAGTAGCACGGAGTCTGGAACTGTGCCCGGTATATGGCAATAGGCTCACCCCCTATTACATGGGACTCATAACATAAATAGTGAAAAGTGGGTGTTACATTGTACAGTGGTATAATGTGCACCTCTGCCTACCCCTTTGAGGATAAAGGGCGTGAAGTTATGTTATGTTTTGTGTTACCTTCAAGTTATATAACTAAATATAAAAATATCTGAACTATCTCGTTTTACGTCTTCATAAAATCATAACTGTTTCAAACAGATATCGCAGGATTTATTACAACTTTGAATCTTGAACAACCAAACTCGCAGTAACCTATCGGGATTTCTATTCGTATTCAATTTGATTTATTCGCTATTTATTTCGCTATATATTTATTTTTCTTTTCAATTAGAACCTAAGTCCCTAATTGTCGTCCCTAGTTACAACCAATTAATGTAAACAGCTAAAGAGCGGTATCATTAACGAAGTGTACAAAACTAACAAACTAAGAATATAACGAAATTACCTAAAAGGTCTTTTGTGGGTTATACCAAATCTTAAACCGATCATCTACGCCCACCTAAGGAGGTCGCCCTGTAATTATTGTATTTTCTCTTAAATATCCCAACTAATTTCCCATAAAATTTTGTGCTTAATATTTTTAAGTGTTGGTTTATTTCGGCGTCTAATAAAAGTGTTTATACTTAGTGTATACTTCAATCACGATTCGCTGTGCGTGGAGGTGTTGTCGGCGCGCGACGTGATTCCGCTCGACCCGAACGGCTTAAGCGATCCATTCGTTGTGGTCGAGTTGGTGCCCAAACGACTCTTCCCGAAGGCTCACGAACAAGTCACTAACGTCCAAAAGGTAATATCTTTATAATACATATCTAAGTAGAAAATAGAGTAAAGGTAGAGACGGCATTACGACAGAAATCCAATTCAAAGATCAAGTTATTCTTGGAACGTTCCTTAGAATTTCTCTTGAGAAGAAAATGCAATTATATTCGTATATCGTCGAGTCTTATTATATTCCCAGAGCTGCATACAATGGTAGCAAACTTTGCAAAGATCTGTCTGGTACTTTGGTAGTTTGTACTTAAAATATGTACAGGTATTTCGGTTCGTGTACGAGAAAAAAATCATTTATTTCTGTTATTACTTATTACCTATAAGTATTTTCAAACTGAAATGTCCATCAGTCTGTTTGCCAAAACGAAGTGACGCCTATTGGACATTCCACTGACTCAACTGTGCGTGCAGAAAACGTTGAATCCGGTATGGGACGAGTGCTTCGAGTTCGCGGTGTCGCTGGACGCGTGCCGCTGCCCGGGCGCGGCACTCGCACTGTCAGTATGGGACCGTGATGTGCTGACAGCTGATGACTTCGCTGGCGAGGCCTTCGTGTCACTTGCACGTATACCCGGCGTCAACAACCACGCGGCACCTGACCCACTGCGGCCACTCGAACTGCCGCTCATGCAGCTGCACGACCGCAGTTAGTATTCTACTAAATATCATAACATAATACTAATCATAATTTCATACTTTTGAATGACAAAGAAATGCGTATTATTGAAAAACATCTAGTTTTCGCCGGTTATGTTAAAAGTTCCAATAAATAGGGCGGGGACGCTCTTTATATCTTAAGTTCCTATTTGAATGTCGTCTCAACAAAGCTGTCTTTGTTTCATGCGCCACGAGCTGCTTTAGACAGTTACAAGTCATCAGTTATGAAAATATACCCACGTATTTATTCCAACGTATTCTCACTTCGGTTTTGGGCTGAACGAACTATGTCCGAAACAAAGTCGATTTTGTATCTATTTCTTAATTAAAGCCAGATGTTTGGATACTACGAACGAAGGTCTTCGGAGACAAAACTTTTCAGGAGATTCTGAATGTTTCAAAAACGTGTCTTGAAGGAAGCCCTACTGAAATTTAATTAGCAAGTAATAAACGTTTCCATAGAATACCAGTACCAACGTATTCAGAATACTCTATAACGTAATTAATAAATTCAATAAAGATTTTCTAAGTATTTCCATGGTCGTTTAGATTCGATCTTTGATGTTAACTTATAACATTATACCAGAACGTCTTCACAACATATTGAGTTCAATTAATTTATTATAATTTGAAAGCAATCACAGTCCCGATCATTGTGATGACAGTTACAGTCAGTCTCTAATTTTTAGACGGGCATTTTTATACATGACAAATTTGTCGCAGGATCTAGAGATCAGACATTTTTTTAAATATTTACACTATAAAGCACTTCTTGAAGCACCTAAAATCGATGCACCTGGATTGTCTCGAAGATTAGAGAGTGAGAGAACAGATACTGCACTTGTTTGCATAAGAAGTTATCTACAATAAGGCACACAATAAATAAAAGATAATTATACGTTACTTGAATGGAGATTTAGAAAGAAGTGAGATTTTAAGATACCAAAAGTTTACGGAAAAGTTTACGAAAATGTTGTTTTCAGATCATCCCATCCTACAAATCCTGGAATCACGCACCACTGATAAACTGGCCATAGACTTTGTGAAGAAACAAAAGCTAAGATTCGCTGAACAGTAAGTTCTCTGTCAACTTTCAAGTATCTGTTTCTAAGTATACTTATTTCTTTATTTATATTTACGCACAACGTCCATTTAAAATGTTGACAATATTTATAAAATTTACAAAAAATGAATTCGATATTTTTTAAATGAAATTTTAGTTAATTGCAAACCTATTTATTATGATTAAGATGTATAAAAGTCATCAGTATTAACGTATGAAATACTACAAAGACTGTAATTCTTTGACTCATGAGAGAACATGTATATGTATAAAGTATTGTCTATGTGTAATTTCAATGCATTTTATATGTGTATAGAGTTAGTACGCACCCTCGGAGCTTATGTCCCTAGTTGTTAATCTCTATTAGAAGTTCCCGACCAAGTACTTTAAGGCTCGTTGTTAACAATTTCATACTTCGCGCTACTCCATCTGCCTACATCTCTTACATGGACTTCACTGTTCGGCACTTTCAATCCAAATATTGTATTGCGGTGTTAGTTGTTTATTAATACAGTAGCATGTCAAACGTTAATGCTAATATATATCAAAATAGTCGTAATTCAATTTACTCATAATAACATGTCTCTCGATAGTATTTGACCGTCAGAATATATAAATGTTTAGCGTGTAATTAACATTATCAAATCCGTGTTGGTCCGTGTTTCCGAGGAGTACTTATTTATATTAATCCTCGATGTCGATGTTTCAATGTGTTGCAGCGTTATCTCTGCTTAATGTGGATTCCAAATGATCCATTGATACACACCTGTACATTAGATTACGACTAAACAATGGAATTCAGTCACTTATTAATTATATTATTGTTTTGATTACATTCCATATTTCACTTTACATGAATTAACAGTAACATTATACCTATTCTACAAAATTTGATACTTACAACTTTATGCATTTTAAGCGAGCTTTTTATTACCGTCGCATCTATGTATTACTTAAAGAATATATTATAATTTAAATATATTATATAATGTATGGAATGCATTGTCTTCGACGACTGATTTTTCATCGTTAGAGTTAATTATATTTTATAACTATACGTGACGTATGTACACTGTGTATACAAGTATATTATTGTAATAGACGATGTATTGATGTTTTAAATTAGCAAATGAATATTATATACCTACTTTATACATGTAACAATTAGTATAAAAGAATGTTAAAGTTATATGAGACAGATTTGTATTTAAAGAGGAGAATGATTCGTGTGTAGGAGAGGTGAGGACGTGGCAGATTTATTATATTTATGAATGTACTTATGAGAAGGGATCCAAGTTATAATGTACCAGGCAGTCTACTGGCGCGCGAGCGCACTCTCTAGAACGAAGGAACCGAACGGAAACATGCAAATCTCGGGGACCCAGCAGGCCCCGACCTAGATATAATTCAATTCTTAATTTTAAATAAATAAATGTGTGACCGTAAAATTAATAATATAAGAAAACCATAAATATATGATGATGTTGTAAACTTTCTGCGCTCCTGTGTACTTACGAACATACTCTAGTAGAAATTGTGATTGATGGACCCACTCCGCTCTTAATAAAAACCTCGAAAAGTCATATCCAGTGCTACCCTATCCATATCGCTGAGCTTGTAACGTCTACATAAGATATATGTATTTTAAACTTTATACCTGTGCAGCGCAGGGAACGTGTCGATGTTAATCTAAATCGATGCGGAACCGCGACGTTCTGCTGTTTTTGATACGTTTGGAAACCTTCATATACAATTTATAAATAATACAAAATGACTATGTATGATCCTTTGGCAAACAAGACCATTTCAAGAGTCAATTATTTAAAATAGGCTACTCAAAGACAACATATTTTACATTCGAAATCTATATATATTTTGGAACTTATTGCTCATGAAAAAGTCATGTGCCAGCGAAGATCGGCTTTTTTTATATAAAATCATTATTATACAAAAACTTTTTATAAAATTCTACTTTCCACTGTCGAAAGTGGAGGATAATATTTGACATTCAGATGATGATATAGAAATTCATGCAATATGCATGTTTTGACACGGAAACCAAATCGTTACTCGCTGGATTTAACGTGTCTAACTAACAAACTGTTCTGCTTTACTCACATATCCTTCTGTCTGTATAATTTAATGTGTGTCTTCGACGTTATGCAAATCCTATAGAAATATAAGAATATATTAGTGTTGATATCAATGTACCCACTCCACATATCTAAATGTGTAACTTATAGTGATCCGCTGATACAAAACCCACCGCATTCTGGGACTGATCCATTCAATGAAAACATGATATGATGCTGTACGTACTATTAACACTTGTGTTCCTTGCTTTAATAAACTCTAAAAATAAACGAAACCGTTGTTTTAATTAAGGTATTACAAGATGAAGACATAAAGTATTAACCGGTATCTATGATAGCAACATACCTGTTTTTCCTCATACTATTTTCCTTGTATATTTATGGATACTTATTTACTTCGGGATCTATAGAGAGATCTATTAGTCCTTGGTAGTAGCAGAGACTTGATTACGGCGGAGGTATCCCGTACACATGTCTTACAAACAATAATTGTCGGTCTCCTTTATTTTATTAATGCTAGATATTTCAACGACATTAAATTACGGTTATGGGAGCTCGCATATCAACCTTCGAACTAAGTTACAAGCTTTACAAACTATACCTTCAGTTCGACATCAGACATTAGTGAACTATCTGCGTAGAACTACTTGACACATGTCTCAAAAGACTTACCGAACTACATGGCAAGCCACAGTAACACTGTATAGCTGATATCAAACTAATAAACACCTTATGGCGTAAGTCTAAAACATAATGAAAGAACACAATGTGTTGTTAATTGACTACAGAACCTCCGACCTAATGGGATTACGTTTACGAGGTTTTAATGGTGCTTAGTTATGACAGTTCAATCAATAACCCCACTTAATGAAGCAGTCCGAAGTAGTTCCATCGTTAGCAAAGTTTATGAAACCTATCACGGTATGGCACGACTGTGAAGCGATAAATTGAAGAATCCTTTCAAGTAGCCATTTCAAGTCGTAGTTGGTTTGAGAAAAGCAATGCACCAAGACGTAGAACTTATTTCCTTTCTATTGTTTTCTATTTCTGTATTTTCAATTTTCTTTTTGATTACATTTTCTTTGTTTACGTGTGCATCTAGCGTTTCCTCTGTTGTTCTAGGTATGACTTCACTATGATAAAGCCTATTAATGGGTATGGGTAGAGACTTTAGAGTTAGATCCGTACAGAAGACGTTTTCGTTGATTTTCCCTTGTGAATTTTGATATTGTTGTGATATTGTGCTCCAATTAATGTGATTGGACTACGCAGAACATTGGCATAGAAGCTTGATTGACCGTGAGTTGATTGAATAGGTCGATGAATGCAACTCGATAATTAGAGAAATTGTTCTGCAGCAGCGAGAGATTACGTTTCAGGTTTCTGATTTTCAGTAATCCATTGAGAATTTACTTGACGATCACCATTATTTCTACTATTTATTCATGAGGTAAACAGACTTTTAACTAGTTATGTTATTATTCCCAAAAATTTTTACCCCGAAGTAAGCTACTGAGTGAGATATTTCTTCTAACTCATGCTACTTCTAAGACCTATCTACTGAAAAATTTTAAATTGTATATCTTGCCATATTTTATTTGAGGACAAGATGAAACCATTCACAAACTGCCCAACAAATCGTATAATGATAAATAATGCAACTAATTACATGTATGTATAATGTTGTATATGTTTGAAACCTGGCAAGAATCCGTCCATTTAAGCGCTTGGTCGATATCGAATTTATATATGTCGGTACCTTGCATCATGACGTCAGTTAATCAATTAGTGTGACCAGTTTATTTGATTATTATTCCTCCAAATAATTTGTAACGGAAACGTCAAGTACTACACTTGGGTAAGGTCGATTCACGTGGCAACACTGGTTGTATGATTGAGATGATTACCGATTGACACATGACGTTTGACCATTTAAAACGTCTGTGGAGGCTTGCGGTAGAGAGGGGACAGTGTCACGGGCATTCAAATTGGAAGCGCAAGCGTCAACGGTCGTTGCCACGTGCTATCGAACTTGCCGCGTTTTCCGTCTTGATAATCCGTCTGTATCTGTGTCATCCGTTGTTATTTTGAATCTCAAATTAAATCTAAAGACTAATAAGGTGTTTTACTGTGTCTACATAATTGTATTAACGGACAATTAACGATGGCTGACCCGTCTGGTAACGAGGCGACCCATCAGGTCCCGATATCAGAAGTGGGATTAGAAAACGCCAGCCCACGTGCTCGTAATAGTGATTTCGCTGATGTGAATAGTGATGAAAAGTGGCAGCAACTACTAATGCGGCAGAATAAGAACTTTGAGATGCTTGTTCGTGCCATCAAGACGCCATCGTTACCTATGGAGTTGCGATTACCCGATTTTGACCCCGATAAATCGGATGTGGATGCACGTGCATGGATTTCAACCGCTAGCCTGTGTATTAACGATGAATATCGCCAGGGTACGCAGTTAATGGTTGCTTTGAGCCGTGCCTTGAAGGGCCAAGCCTCCACGTGGCTGTCAACAGTGTCGTTTCCGGGAATGACGTGGAGCAACTTCAAGGAGCTATTCATTCAAAGGTACGATTGTCCTGAAACTGTTGCCTCGTTTTTAATAAATTTGATTGAACGTAAGCCCAAAGAAAACGAATGCTTAGCTACCTACGCCGCCTCGTTAATGACTTCCATTATGTCAAGATTTGACGACTGAACAGCTTGCTATCGCTACAGTTTTGGCACATGTTTCCCGCTTCGATAGACGTGTTCAGCGACTATCATTTACGACCGAAGTAACTACCCGCAATCAGCTACAACAAGAGCTCAAGGCTGTCTCGTTCCTCAAACGAAAAGCTGGTAGTGATTATGACATGGTGGATCCGAAGAAGACACGCGCCGGCCACACTTCTACTCCATTAAAGTGTT